CACGTCGGGCAGCCAAGCACCTCATCGGGCTCCCCCTTCACACGTATGCCAGCAACCATCTCATTCTTCACTAGCTGCTGCAAGATGGGCAGGGCCACATGCCCCATGCGCCGATGCAAGGTGAGCCAATCACACTCCCCCGTAGCCGAAGTTGGATTGGAGAATGCCGCGCTCGCAATAGCGCCCCACATACTCTCTCCGTAGTCCTCCTCCGCTGCTGCCTCTGGGTTCTCCTCACCCTTTTGCTGCTCCTTGGTTGCTGCACCACTCTCCTTAGGTTCACTAAACTTGCTGGTCCCTCCAGGTTTGCTCTTCTTGAGCTCATTCTCCTTAGCGCGACCGTTCGCGCCATCGTCGCTACCGACCGCTCCATCCTTGGTGCTGATGCTTGCTGCCACTTGCCTCTCCTTAGGCATAGGGACCACTGGGATCTGCCACATCTCATTGTAGACATCCCTGTCCTCATGAAGGTCCCAAAGAATTCGATCGCCAAGCCTTGCGGTGTAGGTCTTGGCTCCCTTCGAGTTCGTGTCCATGCCGGCCTTTGCCAACCGCCGCACGGAAATCAAGTTTGCAGCAAGGCTGGGCACCCAAAGCACGTTCTTGAGGCCCACCATCTTCCCATCAGCACCCTTGAACATGGCCTTGCCCATGCCTTTCACCTCTGCTCGCTGCCCCAAAGCCGATGTGACATGCTTCACCGGTGACGGCTCGAGTTCGGTGAGCAAGTCCGGGCGAGGTGTCATGCTATAGGTAGCGCCACTATCAATCACCCAATAGTCCAGGGGGTGTAGGGTCACCTTCCCCACAGCTGCTGGCTCCTCAAAGCCTTCATCCTTCTCTGGACCAGCCGGTACTTGCGTCGACACGAAGTAGAATAGACCCGGGTATCGATCGTCGCTCGGGTCCTTGTCGTTGTCTCCGCTCTTCATGTTTGCAGCTCCGCCACCGCGACCGCCACGGCCTCCACGGCCTCGTCCTCTCCCTCCTCCTGCTCCTCTACCCTCTTGGCCTTGAGCAGGGGTCCAACCATCAGGGAGTTTGTAGCAGTCGCGCCACATGTGTCCGCTCTTGTGGCAATAGTGACACTCACCGTCGAATCGGCCGCGACCGCGTCCGTAGCTCTTGTCGTCGCTGCCGTAACCGCCACTCCTGCGGCCTCCGCCGAAGTTGCTGCCACCAAACCTTCCTCCCCCTCGTCCTCTGCCTCTTCCTCGACCATATCCACGGCCGATGCTCGCTGCCCCAGCGCCATCCGCACTCGCCAACTCACGGCGGCGGAAATCCTCTTGAAGGATAGCTCGCTTCACGTCTTCAAGCGAGAGGCGGGGCAAGTCGCGATTAAGGTTGATGATGAGCGAGGACCATGACTCTGGGAGTAAGGCCAGCAACTTGGTCTTCTTTTGGAGCTCACTGTAGTTCAAATCAGCTCCCTCAAGCCGCGTCAACAAGTCGAAGAATTTCTGCACCCCTTCTTCAACCGCTTCGTCTTCTTCAATTCGAAGTGCCGCCATTTGCCGTTCCAACACCACCGCTACCGCCGCTGTTGCAGGAGCATGTACACCCTTGAGAGCAGCCCATGCCTTTGGTCCTTTCTCTGGTTCACGCTGGAATGGCTTGATGTGACGGATCTGACTGCTCCCCAACGCTTGCCCAAGTAAGAGATAGCCTTGTGCGCTCTTCCGCACCCACGGGCTCTTCTCCGGGTCGTTCTCGGGGCGCTTCTCCGTTCCTTCCATCACCTCCAGCAGGTCATAGTGGTCAAAGATGTTCTCCATCTTGAAGGACCATTCAGCAAAGTTGTCACCGTTGAACTTGTCAAGCCCAAACACCCTAGGCTCATCCCTAGGTGGGCCAAGACTTGGTTGCATGGGCACCATGGCTGAATCACGGGGTTGGCCTTGAGCTTGGGCTTCTCCACTGCCACCAGCACCTCTGCCACCCCTTTCCTCAGGTCCAGACATTGTCGAAACTGCTCCAAGGGCCTCTGATACCACTTGTTATAGTCACAATAGGCTTGAATGTGCCTAAAACGAAAGATAGAGAGCACAGACGGATTTCTGAACAGCGGCTTCAAACGTTGATAGCGTTCTGCTCACAGCTGCAAATGACTTGATTCAAATTGGATCTGGAGCGTCTTTACGTCGTCTACAATTAGCAATTTAGATTGCACGATTTGATAAAGAATTGACGACACAGCGTCGGTTTGAACGAACGGTACTATGGCAGCCACTATAGTCTTAGAACACAAGATAGGAAGAGTTACGAGTTGGGAATGACTCCCAGCTCCTACAAACCCCAAGAGCCGAGGTACAGTGATGTGGAACAGTGCCACACTGTTCCCAACCACGAAGGGTCTCGAAACTACCCTTCACTAGGGCCTACACCAAGTGAAATGTTACACTACACAAAGTAATGTAACTATCTTCAATATCTTGAGGTGTACCCTTTTGGCAAGCTTCGAAATCACTTGAGGCTTGACACCAAGGCTCGGGCTCTTCATCACAAACTCATCCTTGAGTTCTTGATGGGTCTGCTGCACACACCTGCGACACGCCGAACGTTCGACACAGGACAAAATAGAAACCGCGCACGACAAAATAGAAACCGCGCGCGAGACACAAACGACCGCGTAACACGCGTCTAGCGATAACTCGCTATTGACTCGACACACACACTCGACATCATGACTCAACATTCACACACAATTATAAGCATGAAATATATATTATCCCATGCCCTCATACCATTCCATACACACACACATTCACGCACACGGACAACAAGCCGAGTGCAAACCGTAGGGTTGCACCAACACACACCTACCAGCAGCAGTTGGGATGCCTGCTCTTTGCATCCGCTATCTGCAGGCCCGATCTCTCCTACATCGCGAGCCTGTTGGCTCAGTACTCACGCAAACCAACGGCTGAAAATCTCTCAGATCTTCAGCGAGCACTTCAGTTCTTCATCTCCACACCCAATGTGGACGCCGATCATGCTGCTGACCCCGACAATCGATGGTCCAGGACAGGCTTCCTTTTCCGCCTCGAGCCCAGCGGTCCCATCTCCTGGAATTCACAGAAGCAGGAGCTGGTTGCCCTGTCATCGGCAGAAGCTGAGTTCATCATAGCCACAGCAGCCGTTGGCGAAGGTCTCTATCTTGAAGAACTACAGCAGGAGGTGAAAATTCCAGCCTCGGCGAACTTTCGCCTGCACTGCGACAACCAGAGCACGATCAGGATCGCGAACAAGCCGGGATTCGTCAACCGCACCAAACACATCGCGCTGCGGTACTCTTCGTCAAAGACGAAGCTGACAAGGGCAAGGTTGAGCTAACCTACTGCCCGACAGGTGACATGGCAGCTGACTTCCTCACAAAGAAGCTGTCACGTCAGCAGTACCAACACTGCTCCGAACTCAGCGGAGTAGTCAAGCGGGTCAAGACTCGCTACGGGCAGGAGTGAAGGGGGGTGTTACGAATAGTAATTATTGAAACATTACTGTGCACTCCTCACCGCAGCAAGCGAAGCACGCACTAGCGAAAGGGCGGAAGTGACGCGAAGGGTCGCACGGTTACGAAAGCATCTGGACCGTTGGGCAGACGCAGCAGTGGTGAGGATTCTGCCTGGACAGTTCCGTAACCGTCTGGAGTCGCACGGTTGGAATTCGCTGTGATAAGGGAATGTACCCCTTAGAGTACATGGCTAGCTAGGTCGATTGGTATTCCCCTGTACTCTTATTTATAGTGCTGTATCAGCATGTTTTATCATCGCAAGCATTTACATTCACTTAGATATTGAGGTCAAGGGCCCACCACAAAATCAGTAGTGTGCGAACCTTCCTGAGGTGATCCTGACTACGATCAACTTCTGATCGCAACAGTTAATAAGGGAATGTACCCCTCAGAGTACATGGCTATCTAGGATTGCTATTTATATTCTTCTACTCCCATCTTATAATTATCTTGTTCTTTCAAATTCTATCAACACTTAGCAAGCGTTATCCTGTCCACTACGATCCTTCAGTTTTCACAACACTAGTTACGGGATTAACCCTCAAACACTGGCATTGTAGGCGTCTGTAGTAGGGTGCGTTCCTGTGGAGACACTTGTGTCTCAATCCTTTTGTGACGCGTAAAACCAGCTTATAACGTACAATGTCACAAACGCGTGTCGCCCTTGTGCGAGTTTTAATGTATTTTTCATTTGTCAGCGTGAAACGCGCTGATGTCGCGGATGAGTTGCATATCGACCCGTCATTGTCAACAACTCTGTACGCGGTTCGAAATGTCAATGCACCTGGACATTCCACAGTAGAAATCTTGCGCGGGAAAAAGTTCCGCTCGTCAAAACCCCACCCGAACCAGACAGTTGAAGAAACAGGTGTTCGGTCAATTTGAACTGCGATCCAATTTTCCCAGTGCGTGTTTGCAAATGCGATCTTTTCGGGCAGAATCATGCGGCTGCCCGTGTTTAGGGTTGGGGCTCCCCGTGTTTAGGGTTGGGGCTCCCCTAATCGCATGCCATCCAGATGGGGTTTATTTTTTTCTGACCGCGGGCAGATAACGACCCCTCAGCTTCTTCCACTGGGGATCGCATTTGCGAACCGCGCTGGCTAAATTGGATTGCAGCTGAAGTTGTCCCAACAGGTGTTCAGTCAAGTTTGAAATCCAATCAAATGAGCACAGCTGTAAATTTCGCCTGGTCGCACAGTTTCGTGATACACTCATTTTTTGTGACGCGAGATTGCAAAAATGTGTAGACGCGACTCGGAAAAAAGGGGATTGAGACACAAGTGTCTCCACAGGAACGTACCCTAAGTATAGGTGAACTGCGTCCCCGAACACCAAGGAATTGCAACCTTGCAACACTAACCTCAAGGAATTGCAACACTACTAGTATGCATTGATTCAGTTGCACCATGCCTCAGGAACGGTCTTCACAAACATGCAACTAATCAGACCTCTATGCACACAACATAAATATACCAACACGGTCAGTTTATTTAGCCTTCTGCTGCTGTATCTTTTTGGCATACTCCACAAACCGCTCAAGGTCGGCTTGAATGATGCTCTGCACCAATGGGGCTAGGCTCTGGTGGGAAAGGAGAGGAGGGGAGGAGGGGTGGGGGGAAAGGGGGAATGGGAGGGGAAGAAAGAGGAATGAGGGAACAGATTGTGCATACTCCACAAACTGCCCACGGCCTGAATGATGCCCGGCACCAATGGGGCTAGGCTCTGATGGGAAGGAGAGGAGGGGAGGGGAGGGGAGTGAGGAAGATAGAGGAATGAGGGATCAGACTCCACAAACCGCTCAAACTGCATTAACAAGGCTAGGCTCTGATGGGGAAGCAAGACGGGGTGGGACGGGGTGCGGAAAAGGGAAGCGGAGATGAGAAGAACAAACAAAAAACCATTATGAGAATTCTCTGCAACTTTCTCAGCTTTCAGCGGAGGGAAGCGGAGATGAGAAGAACAAACAAACAAACAAACAAACAAATAAAATAGCATTTGTTCTTGATCTGCTATTTTATTTCTCTCAGCAACAGCTGGCTCGGCGGTAGCTGGCTCAACTGTGGCGCAGAGGAATCTTGACACGATTGAAAGATAAAAAGACTAAAAGGTGAGATTTTTTTAGACAGCTGAAAGCTGAGAAAGTTGCAGACAAGTGAAGGCTGAGAGGAGCGTACGTTCGCAACGGGGACGAGAATGCCGGGCACCTCATATGAAATGGTCATCTGCAAGAATGCGAGGCGCGGGATGGAAGGCACACAAGGGCGTGTGAAGAACACAATTCGGAGCATATATTGATACGAAAGGTAATAAAAGGGGACGAGAATGCCAGGCACCTCATAAGAAATGGTCATCTGCAAGGATTCGCAGCAGGGGGGGCGGGGGGTAAATGGGGTGGGGGGGGGGGGAGGGAAGAGATTGCAGATGTGGCGGGTGTAAATACTGCATGTCAGATAATCCGGAAAAAAAAATATCCTGTAGGGGAATTTACGAGGAGAGTGCCTGCACGAGAATACAGACAGACTGCACAACGAACTACAGTCTCAATGGAGACACCACCTAACCAAACCGCAGTAGACCACGCCACACTGCAGTATCTGCAGCTCGCAGTCCGAAGCACTGGTGGGGTCACTGCAGGAGGAAAAACAGAAACTCAGAGGCGAACAACCACACCACACCATGTCACATCAGACCACACCACATCGCACCGCACCACACCATACCGCAGTACCTCCAGCTTGCAGCCGTTAGGACCACTGGGGAAGAAACGGACAGCCCCACTGTTGGGGAGACCATCTAGGGATCTCCAGTGGATCTTCTGATGGTGGATGGGCTGGTGCGGGAGGAAGGAGATGGAAGAGGGGAGAGAGAGATGAGTGGGAGGGGCAACGCAGCAAAGAAGCAGATGGGGCCACTGTTGGGGAGATCATCTAGGGATCTCCAGCGGATCTTCTGATGGTGGATGGGCTGGTGGGAGGGAGATGGAGCGAAAGAGAGGGGGAGGAGGGAGAGGGAGAGAGGGGAGAGTTGTTTTATACAAAGCAGGTATTACTGTTGGGGAGACCATCCAGGGAATTCCAGTGGATCTTCTGATGGTGGATGGGCTGGTGGGAGGGAGGATGAGAGGGGGAAGAGATGGAAGGATTGATAAAGAAGATGTGGTGGGAGGAAAGACAAGAGAACTCGAGGTTCTTCCCAGGAGCGTTACTAGATTACTCTCCCCCCCCCCCCCCTTTCCTCTCCCCCTTTCCTCTCCCACTTTCCCCCGAGCCATATCGGAACTCTCCCGCTCGGTTCTTGGCAAGCCAGGAGAACTCGAAGTTCTGCCCAAACGCATTGTAGCGACTTAGTTTCCCGCCTCCCCCCCTTCCCCACTCCCCTCTTCCCCCAATCCGTACAGGACATATCTGCACGCTCTCCCGCTCTCACCTGCAGGTTCTTGGCGAGCCAGGAGAACTCTAGCTTCTGCCAGAAGGCGGTGTAGCAACTGTATTGTTCACCCTCTCCCCACTCCCTCAATCCGTACAGGTCATACCTGCCAATAGCCATCTCCCGCACTCACCTGCAGGTTCTTGGCGAGCCAGGAGAACTCGAGCTTCTGCCCAACGGCATTCCTTCATTCATGCCATTCTAGTTTTGAGACGTCTCAAAACTGGAGAACTCTAGCTTCTGCCCAACGGCATTCCTTCATTCATACCATTCTTCCCCTCCTCACCCCCTCTCCCCCCCCCCCCCCCCTCCTCATCTCACCTGCAGGTTCTTGGCCAGCCATGAAAACTCGAAATTCTGCCCAAACGCGGTGTAGTGAAGGGTCCACGTGGAGAGCTCTGGTTTGTCGTCACGCACCTGGGGAAAGGCGAGGGGAAGAAGCGGGGAAGGAGAGACGCGGGGGAGGGGGAGACGCGGGGGAGGGGGAGTTGAGGGAACTTGGGGAAGGAGGAAAACTCGAGGTTCTGCCCGAATGTGTTGGAACGGAGGGTACACGTGGACAGCTCTGGCTTGTTGTCACACACCTGGGGGCCCGGGAGGGGAAAGAAGAGTGAAGCAACGGGAGGGTAGGGCGAGGGGGGAGGGTGAGGTTGGGGGAGTGGGGAAGAAGGGAAAGATGAATGGAGGGGTAGGGAAGGGGAGAGGAAGGGAAAAGGGAAGGGAGAGGGGGTGAGAGAGATGAGCCGAATCAAGGCTGGACGGAAACCACAGGGAGGGAGTAATGCATAGCACTCGGTCAGCTTATAACGGGGGGATGTTAATAATTCACTTTCACTAATACAATCCAGGACACCCAAGAAAGAGCAGAAAGCAGCACTCACTTTTACTGAAGCAATCCAAGGCATCCACAGGTCAGATTATAGCGGGGATCAGAAATGCTTACTTTTACTGAAGCAATCCAGGGCATCCAGGAAGGGATGAGCTCTCGGTCCATCCACAGGTCGAAGGCCAATGGGAGCGGGACAGATGGTGCATCCACCACGGCCCTGCCACGTCAGCACATTAGACGACGTGGCGGGACAGGACAGGTGAAGTGAACGCGTGGCATGATGTGAATGCGGAAATTGAAGGTGCCACGCATGCAATCGCGGCAGCGGCTAGCACCGTAAACATTTCACAATCAGAACAGTAAAGAGCATACGCACTCACAGCAGTGGCTAACTCCCTAAACGTTTCACTTAAACAACAGTATATAACTTACGCCAGAGCGCACGCACGCAATCACTTGTTTTCAAGCCACGTGGCCGAAACCAGCAGGCCCAGTTGTTTGAAAGGTCTTCCAACACGTGGGATGACGCCATTAGTTAGCGATCCTGGTTCAGAAATCCTGACCCTAGCTCCTGAAAATCCGGAGCCGAGAGACAATCTTTGGCGGGAGACGGAAGGACGAGCCGCGGCCGCGAGGACAGGCCCGGATGTGCGTGCGCGAGAAAGAGGATAGCTGACACGTGGCACGTGGCCATAGGCGGAGTATTTAGGTGATTGGAACCCGGTGGCGGTTGATGCGGCGGCTGACGTGGCAATTGCAGAGCTTGCAGCGGCCATATCGACAAATTGGCGCGGGGCGGTATCGACGATTGAAGAAAATTCCCGAATCTGGTATATCCGTTATAGAGAACTTTTTTGGGCGTTACGGACTGTTCTGCCGGCACGAGGCGCTGACGCCGACTAGCCGTCGTGAAAACAGACTACCGCAAATCACGGCCAGTCGCGCGTCGTGTGGCTCGACGCGACAATCTCGAGGGAGAGGAATCTAGAATGCATAAAATACGAAACAGAACCAAATAAAAGGTGACTGGTCAGCAAAAACGTCCAGTGATGTCGTGAGAACCTGAATGTCGTAGAAATCTGAATGGTTTGTTGTGACGTCTTCTCTATAACGCGGAGGAATCCAGGCTGTGCGTCTTCTCTATAACGCGGATAATGAATGAGATGAAACTGCAGCTAGCCAACTGCAGCTCGACACGCGTTGCTGAGCGATTGAGACTCGATTGTGAAACGTGAAGACATCGTTTTACCACGACAGCATCACAGGTGCGTAGTGTAGAACGACGAACATCCTTTTGTTGCAATTTTTTATTAAAACTGTAGGAACAAATCACAGCTAAGTTCAACTACCAAAGAAGAATAAAATCAGGATAATTCGAATCTCAATTTTGAAAGTTTTGTGGGACTGGAGGCGTTCTTTTCCCACCTCCCCCACCCTGCCCTTCATGCATCTGACCTGGGCCCGAACCAGCACCAAACGAACCTCCACTCGGACCATTATTTGCCATCCCTGGCCCAGCATGACCCCCCAGACCTCCCATTCCTCCAAAAGGCGGGTTATTTCCCATATTGCCCGGAGGCTGAAATTGATTTTGTGGCTGAATGGGGGCCTGGGGCTGGTTCCCATGCTGCTGGCGGTTCGGCGGGGACTTGGGTCGGAGAGCCTCGATCTCAGGCGTGGTAACCAGCAGGTGCGGCGCTCCAGGTCGGGGATTGCCTCGGCCCGTGCCTTGCCAAACCTTCCCGTCAGGTCCGGCAAAGAGCTTGCAGTAGGTCTGGTAGGAAAGACGTACCAAGCCGGAGCGGAAGGGGTGTGGTGTGGTTAATTACATCTTAAAATGGGTGTGGTGTGGTAAATTACATGTTGAGGATGCTGAACGAGCAGCCTGAGTGGTCTGCTATACGTTCCATTTTAAATGCACACACGGAGAATAAATGCAACGAAAACAGCATAAATGCACACACGGAGAATACAACAGCATGAAGAAAAGCATCCTAAACAACACAGGGAAAAGTGGGGGGGAGGGGGGAGTGGGGGAAAGTATAAGTAAGGGAAATCATCTGGCCGTGACCAATCACCTGAGGGTTGAAATTTGAGGAGGTGAGAGATTTCCCCACGGTCAGCCAGCCTGCCCGGATATTGTGGTCAGCGCCAAACAATTCGATGCGCCGCCGCCCGAGGGCAAAGTGCTCGATCAGAGAGTAGAGCTCCTCAGGCTTCTCCGTGCTCCCTGCACAGGAGAATAAGTGTAGAGGGGTTGCGTTGAGAGACGTTGAGGGCAGTTAAAAGTGGTTGAAAACGGTGAAGATGGGACGAAACGGTTTAGGAATGACGCCATCAATGAGGGAGTTATGTTTCTTGTGCTTCTTGCAGACAAGGATGATGAGAGCGGTTGAGCGCGGTTTAAAGGGTGGAGCACAGTTGAGAACAGTTGAGGGCGGTTGAAAGGGATGTACAGGCGATGAGAGTGATTGAAGAAAAAAATACAAAGACAGCTGCTCCAACATAAGCACATCAGCTACAGTCACTTACCAAACGGCGGCTGCTCCGATATAAGCACATCGGTGTCAATGTTGGCATGAATGACGTGGCCGTCTGTGCTCCTCCTCACTGTGCCCCTGATGCCCATCAGACAGTGCTCCTGGGGAAATGGAGAGGGGAGGAGTGGAGAAGGAAGGGGAACAGGAAGGGGGAAAAACAGGGGGTACAGGAAGAGAAAGGTTGAATCAAGCACTTTGGTGCCAGTGTTGGCATGGATGACATACCCATCTGTGCCCCTCCTGACTGAGTCTCTCTGATGCCCATCAGACAGTGCTCCTGGGAGATAGGGAGGGGAAAGGGAAGCAGGGGGAGGGGGGCAAGTAGTGTGAAAGACATGAGTGTCGATGTTAGTGTGAAAGACATGAGTGTCGATGTTAGTGTGAAAGACATGAGTGTCGATGTTAGTGTGAAAGACATGAGTGTCGATGCTCCTCCTGACTGTTCTTCTGATGCCCATCAGACAGTGTTCCTGGGGAAAGGAAAGGGAGTGGGGGTCGGGAGGGAGGGTAGGTCAAAGGGGGTGGTGGAATCAATATAGAGAACATGAATTATTTTTAGTCAACTCAAAAAAACAAATGAAAACGGGAAAAATTCTTTAATCGACTGTTAAAACAAAAGAGAGAACGGGAAGAAAGGAGAAAACAAGAGGGTTGGGAGCAGGCAGGCAGGGGCACGGCAGCAGATGGGAGCACTTCAAATCACATACATCTTCCACAGCCCCCCACGCTGAAACCCACTGCACCATGCCACACCGAACCATACCACCCTGCACCGCACTGCACCTTGGAGTGTTGAAACAGAGTCTCGGAAGTATGCCCCCAGGGGCTATCAGGCTTCTCACGGTTGGTCTTCACCCAACAAATATCCTCACAGCGCCGAAATCCCCACTGTTTGTATGAAGGGGAGGGAGGGGGAGGAAGAAAGAGGCATGACAGGTTGCAAGAGGAGAAGGGGAGGGAGGCATGACAGCAACTCTCGCTCCCTCCTGGTTGGTATTCACCCAGCAGATGTCATGCAGTGCACAAAAAATCCCTTGACATCACCTCATAACTTAATGTGCATCTAGTTTTGAGGCGCCTCAAAACATAACTTCATGTGCATGCATCTGCACATATGCACTGACTACCGAGCTCTTAACAAGGACAAAAATTGGTTTGATAAATAGCACGACATATCTTATACACGCACATGCGCATAAGGTGGATGGATGAGGGGATGAAAGTGGCTACTTCATTTTCTCATCTTCTTCCTCACATGCATGAGTAGGGGGGGAGAGGCGTACCTTCTTGAGGCAAATGCGCCCATACTCCAACCCCTCCGCATCCCCCACCCACAGGAAGACACAAGGGGGGGCGGGCAGACACATTCATACAGCAATGTGGGCAGACGGAACTACCCTCGTTGAGACACATGTGCGCGAGAGGGGGGGAGAGGCGTACCTTCTTGAGGCACATGCGCCCATACTCCAACCCCTCCGCATCCCCCACCCACAGGAAGACACGAGGGGGGGCGGGCAGACACATTCATACAGCAATGTGGGCAGACGGAACTACCCTCGTTGAGACACATGTGCGCGAGAGGGGGGGAGAGGCGTACCTTCTTGAGGCACATGCGCCCATACTCCAGGCCCTCAGCATCCCCCACCCACAGGAAGACGAAAGAAGGCGTGTCTGCTATGGCCTAGGGGGAAGGGAGGAGAGGAGGGGTTGGGAGCATAACAAGCAGACGAAAGAGACACAGTAGAAAGTAAGTAAAGACGAAGGACTCCACTCATAAGGCATTTCGGCGGCTGCTCATTTTGAGGCGCCTAAAAAATCAGAAGGCATCAAAAAATTGCTGTATTAGGACAGCGAGACAAACTCCATGCACGGAGGAGGGAGCACGGAGGACCGGGGGACCATGTGTATTGAGACAGGTGGGCTGCGGAGGCCTTATTTCCATCAACTCGTGCTGTATTAGGACAGCGAGACAAACGCTCTGCACGGAGGACCATGTGTATTGAGACGTCTCAAAAATACCCTCAATACACGTGGCCTCTGCTCGGGGGTCCTCAAGCAAACCTCTACTCGAGCTGCCATAGTCTGTTCTGCCCTACTTGTCTGCCCTACTTGTCTGCCCTACTTGTCTGCCCTACTTGTCTGCCCTACTTGTCTGCCCTACTTGTCTGCCCTACTTGTCTGCCCTACTTGTCTGCCCGTGTCAATAATGTGCTGTACCAGTGACGTTACTTATTACTGACAGCTCCTGCCCGTGTCAATAGTGTGCTGTACCAGTGACGTATTTTCAATATTAAGGACCACTCAAGGAGGGTGCGACTGCTATGGCCTGCCACAGCACTCGATCTCACTCATCCCCCATGCCTGCCTGGGGGCCCCCTCTCAACCTCGCTCAATTCCTACCTACCTCCCCCAGATCCTACTTCCCCCACTTCCTACCTCCCCTAATACGTACCTCAATATTCAGAGCCAAAATCTGTTCGGGTGTCCACCACTCGATCTCACTCATCCCCCATGCCTGCCTGGGGGCCCCCTCACTCAACCTCGCTCAATTCCTACCACGTGATAAAAGAAATGTTTTGAGACGCCTCAAAACGCTAAATTCCTACATACCTTCCCTGGATCCTACTTCTCCCACTTCCTACCTCCCCTAAGAATACGTACCTCAATTCTCAGAGCCATAATCTGTTGGGGCGTCCACCACTCTATCCCGTCCCCCATGCCCGGTGCCCGCCGCACATACTCCTCCCAACCTACCCCAGTTCCTATCCCCTCCTCCCCCCCTAGTTCATACCTCGATCCGCAGCACCATGATCTCTTGTGGCGTCCACCACTCTATCCCATCCCCCATGCCCGGTGCCCATCTCACATACACTTCCTTCCCAGCCTCTCCCTGTTCCTGCCTCCTCCCCCAACCAGTTCCTACCTCGATTCTTAGTGCCATGATCTCTTGTGGCGTCCACCACTCTATCTCATCCTCCATGCCCGGTGCCCATCTCACATACACTTCCTTTCCAGCCTCTCCCTGTTCCTGCCTCCTCCCCCAACCAGTTCCTACCTCGATTCTCAGTGCCATGATCTCTTGTGGCGTCCACCACTCTATCTCATCCCCCATGCCCGGTGCCCATCTCACATACACTTCCTTCCCAGCCTCTCCCTGTTCCTGCCTCCTCCCCCAACCAGTTCCTACCTCGATTCTCAGTGCCATGATCTCTTGTGGCGTCCACCACTCTATCTCATCCCCCATGCCCGGTGCCCATCTCACATACACTTCCTTCCCAGCCTCTCCCTGTTCCTGCCTCCTCCCCCAACCAGTTCCTACCTCGATTCTCAGTGCCATGATCTCTTGTGGCGTCCACCACTCTATCTCATCCTCCATGCCCGGTGCCCATCTCACATACACTTCCTTTCCAGCCTCTCCCTGTTCCTGCCTCCTCCCCCAACCAGTTCCTACCTCGATTCTCAGTGCCATGATCTCTTGTGGCGTCCACCACTCTATCTCATCCCCCATGCCCGGTGCCCATCTCACATACACTTCCTTCCCAGCCTCTCCCTGTTCCTGCCTCCTCCCCCAACCAGTTCCTACCTCGATTCTCAGTGCCATGATCTCTTGTGGCGTCCACCACTCTATCCCATCCCCCATGCCCGGTGCCCATCTCACATACACTTCCTTCCCAGCCTCTCCCTGTTCCTGCCTCCTCCCCCAACCAGTTCCTACCACGATTCTTAGTGCCATGATCTCTTGTGGCGTCCACCACTCTATCTCATCCTCCATGCCCGGTGCCCATCTCACATACACTTCCTTCCCAGCCTCTCCCTGTTCCTGCCTCCTCCCCCAACCAGTTCCTACCTCGATTCTTAGTGCCATGATCTCTTGTGGCGTCCACCACCCTATCTCATCCTCCATGCCCGGTGCCCATCTCACATACACTTCCTTCCCAGCCTCTCCCTGTTCCTGCCTCCTCCCCCAACCAGTTCCTACCTCGATTCTTAGTGCCATGATCTCTTGTGGCGTCCACCACTCTATCTCATCCTCCATGCCCGGTGCCCATCTCACATACACTTCCTTCCCAGCCTCTCCCTGTTCCTGCCTCCTCCCCCAACCAGTTCCTACCTCGATTCTTAGTGCCATGATCTCTTGTGGCGTCCACCACTCTATCCCATCCCCCATGCCCGGTGCCCATCTCACATACACTTCCTTCCCAGCCTCTCCCTGTTCCTGCCTCCTCCCCCAACCAGTTCCTACCTCGATTCTTAGTGCCATGATCTCTTGTGGCGTCCACCACTCTATCCCATCCCCCATGCCCGGTGCCCATCTCACATACACTTCCTTCCCAGCCTCTCCCTGTTCCTGCCTCCTCCCCCAACCAGTTCCTACCTCGATTCTCAGTGCCATGATCTCTTGTGGCGTCCACCACTCTATCCCATCCCCCATGCCCGGTGCCCATCTCACATACACTTCCTTCCCAGCCTCTCCCTGTTCCTGCCTCCTCCCCCAACCAGTTCCTACCTCGATTCTCAGTGCCATGATCTCTTGTGGCGTCCACCACTCTATCCCATCCCCCATGCCCGGTGCCCATCTCACATACACTTCCTTCCCAGCCTCTCCCTGTTCCTGCCTCCTCCCCCAACCAGTTCCTACCTCGATTCTCAGTGCCATGATCTCTTGTGGCGTCCATCACTCTATCTCATCCCCCATGCCCGGTGCCCATCTCACATACGCTTCCTTCCCAGCCTCTCCCTGTTCCTGCCTCCTCCCCCAACCAGTTCCTACCTCGATTCTCAGTGCCATGATCTCTTGTGGCGTCCACCACTCTATCCCATCCCCCATGCCTGGTGCCCATCTCACATACACTTCCTTCCCAGCCTCTCCCTGTTCCTGCCTCCTCCCCCAACCAGTTCCTACCTCGATTCTCAGTGCCATGATCTCTTGTGGCGTCCACCACTCTATCCCATCCCCCATGCCCGGTGCCCATCTCACATACACTTCCTTCCCAGCCTCTCCCTGTTCCTGCCTCCTCCCCCAACCAGTTCCTACCTCGATTCTCAGTGCCATGATCTCTTGTGGCGTCCACCACTCTATCCCATCCCCCATGCCCGGTGCCCATCTCACATACACTTCCTTCCCAGCCTCTCCCTGTTCCTGCCTCCTCCCCCAACCAGTTCCTACCTCGATTCTCAGTGCCATGATCTCTTGTGGCGTCCACCACTCTATCCCATCCCCCATGCCCGGTGCCCATCTCACATACACTTCCTTCCCAGCCTCTCCCTGTTCCTGCCTCCTCCCCCAACCAGTTCCTACCTCGATTCTCAGTGCCATGATCTCTTGTGGCGTCCACCACTCTATCCCATCCCCCATGCCCGGTGCCCATCTCACATACACTTCCTTCCCAGCCTCTCCCTGTTCCTGCCTCCTCCCCCAACCAGTTCCTACCTCGATTCTCAGTGCCATGATCTCTTGTGGCGTCCACCACTCTATCTCATCCCCCATGCCCGGTGCCCATCTCTCATACACTTCCTTCCCAGCCTCTCCCTGTTCCTGCCTCCTCCCCCAACCAGTTCCTACCTCGATTCTCAGTGCCATGATCTCTTGTGGCGTCCACCACTCTATCCCATCCCCCATGCCCGGTGCCCATCTCACATACACTTCCTTCCCAGCCTCTCCCTGTTCCTGCCTCCTCCCCCAACCAGTTCCTACCTCGATTCTCAGTGCCATGATCTCTTGTGGCGTCCACCACTCTATCCCATCCCCCATGCCCGGTGCCCATCTCACATACACTTCCTTCCCAGCCTCTCCCTGTTCCTGCCTCCTCCCCCAACCAGTTCCTACCTCGATTCTCAGTGCCATGATCTCTTGTGGCGTCCACCACTCTATCCCATCCCCCATGCCCGGTGCCCATCTCACATACACTTCCTTCCCAGCCTCTCCCTGTTCCTGCCTCCTCCCCCAACCAGTTCCTACCTCGATTCTTAGTGCCATGATCTCTTGTGGCGTCCACCACTCTATCCCATCCCCCATGCCCGGTGCCCATCTCACATACACTTCCTTCCCAGCCTCTCCCTGTTCCTGCCTCCTCCCCCAACCAGTTCCTACCTCGATTCTCAGTGCCATGATCTCTTGTGGCGTCCACCACTCTATCTCATCCCCCATGCCCGGTGCCCATCTCACATACACTTCCTTCCCAGCCTCTCCCTGTTCCTGCCTCCTCCCCCAACCAGTTCCTACCTCGATTCTCAGTGCCATGATCTCTTGTGGCGTCCACCACTCTATCCCATCCCCCATGCCCGGTGCCCATCTCACATACACTTCCTTCCCAGCCTCTCCCTGTTCCTGCCTCCTCCCCCAACCAGTTCCTACCTCGATTCTCAGTGCCATGATCTCTTGTGGCGTCCACCACTCTATCCCATCCCCCATGCCCGGTGCCCATCTCACATACACTTCCTTCCCAGCCTCTCCCTGTTCCTGCCTCCTCCCCCAACCAGTTCCTACCTCGATTCTCAGTGCCATGATCTCTTGTGGCGTCCACCACTCTATCCCATCCCCCATGCCCGGTGCCCATCTCACATACACTTCCTTCCCAGCCTCTCCCTGTTCCTGCCTCCTCCCCCAACCAGTTCCTACCTCGATTCTCAGTGCCATGATCTCTTGTGGCGTCCACCACTCTATCCCATCCCCCATGCCCGGTGCCCATCTCACATACACTTCCTTCCCAGCCTCTCCCTGTTCCTGCCTCCTCCCCCAACCAGTTCCTACCTCGATTCTTAGTGCCATGATCTCTTGTGGCGTCCACCACTCTATCCCATCCCCCATGCCCGGTGCCCATCTCACATACACTTCCTTCCCAGCCTCTCCCTGTTCCTGCCTCCTCCCCCAACAAGTTCCTACCTCGATTCTTAGTGCCATGATCTCTTGGGGCGTCCACCACTCTATCCCATCCCCCATGCCCGGTGCCCATCTCACATACACTTCCTTCCCAGCCTCTCCCTGTTCCTGCCTCCTCCCCCAACCAGTTCCTACCTCGATTCTCAGTGCCATGATCTCTTGTGGCGTCCACCACTCTATCCCATCCCCCATGCCCGGTGCCCATCTCACATACACTTCCTTCCCAGCCTCTCCCTGTTCCTGCCTCCTCCCCCAACCAGTTCCTACCTCGATTCTCAGTGCCATGATCTCTTGTGGCGTCCACCACTCTATCCCATCCCCCATGCCCGGTGCCCATCTCACATACACTTCCTTCCCAGCCTCTCCCTGTTCCTGCCTCCTCCCCCAACCAGTTCCTACCTCGATTCTCAGTGCCATGATCTCTTGTGGCGTCCACCACTCTATCCCATCCCCCATGCCCGGTGCCCATCTCACATACACTTCCTTCCCAGCCTCTCCCTGTTCCTGCCTCCTCCCCCAACCAGTTCCTACCTCGATTCTTAGTGCCATGATCTCTTGTGGCGTCCACCACTCTATCCCATCCCCCATGCCCGGTGCCCATCTCACATACACTTCCTTCCCAGCCTCTCCCTGTTCCTGCCTCCTCCCCCAACCAGTTCCTACCTCGATTCTCAGTGCCATGATCTCTTGTGGCGTCCACCACTCTATCCCATCCCCCATGCCCGGTGCCCATCTCACATACACTTCCTTCCCAGCCTCTCCCTGTTCCTGCCTCCTCCCCCAACCAGTTCCTACCTCGATTCTTAGTGCCATGATCTCTTGTGGCGTCCACCACTCTATCCCATCCCCCATGCCCGGTGCCCATCTCACATACACTTCCTTCCCAGCCTCTCCCTGTTCCTGCCTCCTCCCCCAACCAGTTCCTACCTCGATTCTCAGTGCCATGATCTCTTGTGGCGTCCACCACTCTATCCCATCCCCCATGCCCGGTGCCCATCTCACATACACTTCCTTCCCAGCCTCTCCCTGTTCCTGCCTCCTCCCCCAACCAGTTCCTACCTCGATTCTTAGTGCCATGATCTCTTGTGGCGTCCACCACTCTATCCCATCCCCCATGCCCGGTGCCCATCTCACATACACTTCCTTCCCAGCCTCTCCCTGTTCCTGCCTCCTCCCCCAACCAGTTCCTACCTCGATTCTCAGTGCCATGATCTCTTGGGGCGTCCACCACTCTATCCCATCCCCCATGCCCGGTGCCCATCTCACATACACTTCCTTCCCAGCCTCTCCCTGTTCCTGCCTCCTCCCCCAACCAGTTCCTACCTCGATTCTTAGTGCCATGATCTCTTGTGGCGTCCACCACTCTATCCCATCCCCCATGCCCGGTGCCCATCTCACATACACTTCCTTCCCAGCCTCTCCCTGTTCCTGCCTCCTCCCCCAACCAGTTCTTACCTCGATTCTCAGTGCCATGATCTCTAGGGGCGTCCACCACTCTATCTCGTCCCCCATGCCCGGCGCCCGCCGCACATACTCCTCCCAGGGGGGATCAATCAGAATCACATCAAACTTGGTGCCGAATATTTCCGGAGTCAACTCGACCTGTGCGGGGTGTGGGTGGGGGCGATTCAACGCAATGAATAATCAGCTTGACACGTCTGGCGCTCGCCGCACATACTCCTCCCAGGGGGGATCGATCAGAATAACATCAAACTTGGTGCCGAATATCTCAGGAGTCAACTCGACCTGGGGGGAAGGATGGGCGGAGGCATGGGGGGGAGCATGGGGGGAAGGATGCGCGGAGGCATAAAGGGATGCACATATACCTCCCAGGGGGGATCGATAAAAAACGACATCAAGCGTGGTGCCGAATATTTCTGAAGTCAACTCATCATGGGGGGGTGCAGGTGTCTATGTGGGGAGGTGTGGTGAGTACATCAGATCTGGTAACCCGGTTACCTGTTTCAAATCCATCTGAAGGTACACAGGAGGCGTAGTTGCATCAGCCACGATCCGATCCTTCCTCGTTATAAGCTCCTTCAGTTTAGGATACTCCTCGAACCTATCAGAGACGTCCATATCGCGTATGAAGTTCTGGGGCCTGTATCCCGTGTCCACAAAGTGTTGGGAATAGTCGTTCTCCCGTGCCCATCTGGCGGTTTTCCCCTCCCCCTGGCCCTCCGCCTCCGCCTCCCCCTCCGCCTCCCCCTCCGCTTCCACCTCCCCCTCCGCCTCCGCCTCCCCCGCCTCCTGCCCCCGGCCCCGGCCCCCCTCCGCCCATGGACATTCCCCCAGGCGGACCCATGCGCATTCCCCGTCCCCCCCATTCCGCCCGGACCTCCCCCCATCTGCATTCCTGGCCCTCCGCCCATGGGCATTCCCCCTCCGCCCATCCCCCCTCCGCCCATTCCGCCTCCAGCCATTCCGCTTCCGCCCATGGGTATGCCGTCACCGCCCATAGGGGGACGCCCTGCGCCCATAGGCGGGCCCCCTCCCCCCATAGGCATTCCTCCCCCCATGTTCCCCATCCCTCCCATTCCCCCCATCCCTCCCATTCCCCCCATGCCTCCCATTCCGCCCGCTCCCCCCATATTCCCCATCCCCATGCCCATATGCCCCATGCCCATTCCCATACCCATCCCCATGCCTCCCCCCATCCCCCCGCCACCCATCCCCCCTCCGCCCATGCCTCCCCCCATGCCCCCCATACCTGGCCCCATCGGTCCCCCCATATGCCCCATACCCATCCCCCCCATTCCCATCGGCCCCATCTCCCCGCCCATTCCCCCGCGCCCCATCCCGCCTCTCCCCCCATGCGCGCCTCCCCCCGCGTCCCCCCCTCCTCTTCCGCCAAAACCCCCGCTGCCGTCAAAACCCCCGTCCCCAAACCCACCATCCCTCCGCCCCCCGCCCCACCCATATCTCCCAGGCTCCCCCCAAACCCTTCCGAAACCCCTGTCGTCCTCTTCCCCCGCTCCCCCTTTTTCTCTTCCGCTCGTCCTCCCCCGCGCCTTCCCCCTGGCCATTCCCCCAAGCTCGATCCTTCCCCTCCTCCCTTTCCGCCTCCCTTCCCGCGCCTTTATCAGACCCCCCCGCTTCCGCTCCCCCTTCCTCTCCATTTCCCCCTCTGGCGGAAAAGCTTCCGCCGTTCCCCATCACGTTAGGGTTAGACCCCCTGACGTCATCCATAGGTCCCTGCTCCGCACCCCAGCCGCCTTCGCGGAAACCGGTTCTACCTCTGTCCTCCATACAGTCTAAAGTGCACAGTGATACAAGCGTCGGAAACTGTAAAATTCACGGGAAGCTAATAACGAACTAAATGAAATTGGTGGCTGTATCGACCCCTATTTTGAAAGATTCTGACAGAAAAGAACAGATAGCGACAAGCGAAGGAGCGCTATGGCCGAAACCGATTTCCGTCAGAAGAAGCGACCGTCGTGCGATGACGAACCTTCTAATCTAGAACTTTCAGATGTAACCCGCGGTACGTAACTAGTCTGAATGTACGTAACAGAAGGAAGATCGCGTAGAATGTTCGAGGCGAAGGTTTTCGCAAAAATGAAGAGTCGCGAGGTTGTCGAACAGTCATGGGAAAATATGTCACAGGTAACCATCATGTGACCCGATAACGTCAATGGTAAAAATAAAAAGCGTACGGTAACTGTATCGAGTATCCTGACGGGCTTGGTAAGTGGGGTCACGGATTCAGTCACTATCAACAGCTCAAAAATCACGCGAATGGTAACACATGAAACCCCCGCCAGAAATTCCTGAAACCAGGCCGATTTCCCGCTCGCGCCAAGTCCCCTGCCGAGAGGTTTGATGCACGCTTGTACCGTCGAGCCTCCAGCCCACGGTAACCACACCATGACCCAACGTGCTGTACACCCCCCTGCTCGCTACGGTTCCAACCAAGTACAGAACCTTGACCCCAGCGCAGCTCTCCAACTTACTACCCGCCATCAGCTATTCCTCACGCTATTACCAGAAACTATAGCTTTCACCAGCTGGCTTCCCGTTCACGCATCCAAGGCGTTCGTTAGCAGCACCTGACGTCTATCAACGGTGCGTGCCTTAGCCCTAAAGCCTTTCCCCATCCATTCACGTTTAGTCCCTTGTTACTCGAAAATTACTACTAGTATGAATGAATAAAGTCGATCAGACCGCTGTCGCGATGCGCCCACAAACCGGCGCGCCGAACAGCGCATCGCCCGATGCATCGGGCCCGATCGTCGCGAGATGCATCGCGACGATCAGGAGCAGCCGCCGCCGCGATGCGCATTGCGGCCAGCTTCGGGCCGCAAAGCGCATCGCGCCGACCGGGCCGCCGCCGCCGCGATGCGCATTGCGTCCTGCTTTTGGCCGCTCCGCGCATCGCGCCGACCAGGCCGCCGCCGTCGCCATGCGCAATACCCATCTTTCCTCACTCCCTCGCATGCCGTGTCATCCCCGGCCAAAGCCGCGGCTTATGGCAAATTGCCACGCCTTTCTTTTATGCTACCTCGTGCCTGACTGCTCTCTAGTCCACATTTGTTACGTTGAATCCCCTCTCCGTCCCTCTCACCCACTCGCATACGCTCTCATTCCCTCTCACCCACTCTCATACGCTCTCATTCCCTCCCACCCACTCTCATACGCTCTCATTCCCTCTCACCCACACTCATACGCTCTCATTCCCTCTCACCCACTCTCATACACTCTCATCCCCTCTCACCCACTCTCATACGCTCTCATTCCCTCTCACCCACTCTCATACGCTCTCATTCCCTCTCACCCACTCTCATACGCTCTCATTCCCTCTCACCCACTCTCATACGCTCTCATTCCCTCTCACCCACTCTCATACGCTCTCATTCCCTCTCACCCACTCTCATACGCTCTCATTCCCTCTCACCCATTCTCATACGCTCTCATTCCCTCTCACCCACTCTCATACGCTCTCATTCCCTCTCACCCACTCTCATACGCTCTCATTCCCTCTCACCCACTCTCATACGCTCTCATTCCCTCTCACCCACTCTCATACGCTCTCATTCCCTCTCACCCACCCTCATACGCTCTCATTCCCTCTCACCCACTCTCATACGCTCTCATTCCCTCTCACCCACTCTCATACGCTCTCATTCCCTCTCACCCACTCTCATACGCTCTCATTCCCTCTCACCCACTCTCATACGCTCTCATTCCCTCTCACCCACTCTCATACGCTCTCATTCCCTCTCACCCACTCTCATACGCTCTCATTCCCTCTCACCCACTCTCTTACGCTCTCATTCCCTCTCACCCACTCTCATACGCTCTCATTCCCTCTCACCCACTCTCATACGCTCTCATTCCCTCTCACCCACTCTCATACGCTCTCATTCCCTCTCACCCACTCTCATACGCTCTCATTCCCTCTCACCCACTCTCATACGCTCTCATTCCCTCTCACCCACTCTCATACGCTCTCATTCCCTCTCACCCACTCTCATACGCTCTCATTCCCTCTCACCCACTCTCTTACGCTCTCATTCCCTCTCACCCACTCTCATACGCTCTCATTCCCTCTCACCCATTCTCATACGCTCTCATTCCCTCTCACCCAATCTCATACGCTCTCATTCCCTCTCACCCACTCTCATACGCTCTCATTCCCTCTCACCCACTCTCATACGCTCTCATTCCCTCTCACCCACTCTCATACACTCTCATCCCCTCTCACCCACTCTCATACGCTCTCATTCCCTCTCACCCACTCTCATACGCTCTCATTCCCTCTCACCCACTCTCGTACGCTCTCATTCCCTCTCACCCACTCTCTTACGCTCTCATTCCCTCTCACCCACTCTTATACGCTCTCATTCCCTCTCACCCATTCTCATACGCTCTCATTCCCTCTCACCCACTCTCATACGCTCTCATTCCCTCTCACCCACTCTCATACGCTCTCATTCCCTCTCACCCACTCTCTTACGCTCTCATTCCCTCTCACCCACTCTCATACGCTCTCATTCCCTCTCACCCATTCTCATACGCTCTCATTCCCTCTCACCCAATCTCATACGCTCTCATTCCCTCTCACCCACTCTCATACGCTCTCATTCCCTCTCACCCACTCTCATACGCTCTCATTCCCTCTCACCCACTCTCATACACTCTCATCCCCTCTCACCCACTCTCATACGCTCTCATTCCCTCTCACCCACTCTCATACGCTCTCATTCCCTCTCACCCACTCTCATACGCTCTCATTCCCTCTCACCCACTCTCTTACGCTCTCATTCCCTCTCACCCACTCTTATACGCTCTCATTCCCTCTCACCCATTCTCATACGCTCTCATTCCCTCTCACCCACTCTCATACGCTCTCATTCCCTCTCACCCACTCTCATACGCTCTCATTCCCTCTCACCCACTCTCATACGCTCTCATTCCCTCTCACCCACCCTCATACGCTCTCATTCCCTCTCACCCACTCTCATACGCTCTCATTCCCTCTCACCCACTCTCATACGCTCTCATTCCCTCTCACCCACTCTCATACGCTCTCATTCCCTCTCACCCACTCTCATACGCTCTCATTCCCTCTCACCCACTCTCATACGCTCTCATTCCCTCTCACCCACTCTCATACGCTCTCATTCCCTCTCACCCACTCTCTTACGCTCTCATTCCCTCTCACCCACTCTCATACGCTCTCATTCCCTCTCACCCATTCTCATACGCTCTCATTCCCTCTCACCCAATCTCATACGCTCTCATTCCCTCTCACCCACTCTCATACGCTCTCATTCCCTCTCACCCACTCTCATACGCTCTCATTCCCTCTCACCCACTCTCATACGCTCTCATTCCCTCTCACCCACTCTCATACGCTCTCATTCCCTCTCACCCACTCTCTTACGCTCTCATTCCCTCTCACCCACTCTCATACGCTCTCATTCCCTCTCACCCACTCTCATACGCTCTCATTCCCTCTCACCCACTCTCATACGCTCTCATTCCCTCTCACCCACTCTCATACGCTCTCATTCCCTCTCACCCACTCTCATACGCTCTCATTCCCTCTCACCCACTCTCATACGCTCTCATTCCCTCTCACCCACTCTCATACACTCTCATCCCCTCTCACCCACTCTCATACGCTCTCATTCCCTCTCACCCACTCTCATACGCTCTCATTCCCTCTCACCCACTCTCATACGCTCTCATTCCCTCTCACCCACTCTCTTACGCTCTCATTCCCTCTCACCCACTCTTATACGCTCTCATTCCCTCTCACCCATTCTCATACGCTCTCATTCCCTCTCACCCACTCTCATACGCTCTCATTCCCTCTCACCCACTCTCATACGCTCTCATTCCCTCTCACCCACTCTCATACGCTCTCATTCCCTCTCACCCACCCTCATACGCTCTCATTCCCTCTCACCCACTCTCATACGCTCTCATTCCCTCTCACCCACTCTCATACGCTCTCATTCCCTCTCACCCACTCTCATACGCTCTCATTCCCTCTCACCCACTCTCATACGCTCTCATTCCCTCTCACCCACTCTCATACGCTCTCATTCCCTCTCACCCACTCTCATACGCTCTCATTCCCTCTCACCCACTCTCTTACGCTCTCATTCCCTCTCACCCACTCTCATACGCTCTCATTCCCTCTCACCCATTCTCATACGCTCTCATTCCCTCTCACCCACTCTCATACGCTCTCATTCCCTCTCACCCACTCTCATACGCTCTCATTCCCTCTCACCCACTCTCATACGCTCTCATTCCCTCTCACCCACTCTCATACGCTCTCATTCCCTCTCACCCACTCTCATACGCTCTCATTCCCTCTCACCCACTCTCATACGCTCTCATTCCCTCTCATCCACTCTCTTACGCTCTCATTCTCTCTCACCCACTCTCATACGCTCTCATTCCCTCTCACCCATTCTCATACGCTCTCATTCCCTCTCACCCACTCTCATACGCTCTCATTCCCTCTCACCCACTCTCATACGCTCTCATTCCCTCTCACCCACTCTCATACGCTCTCATTCCCTCTCACCCACACTCATACGCTCTCATTCCCTCTCACCCACTCTCATACACTCTCATCCCCTCTCACCCACTCTCATACGCTCTCATTCCCTCTCACCCACTCTCATACGCTCTCATTCCCTCTCACCCACTCTCATACGCTCTCATTCCCTCTCACCCACTCTCATACGCTCTCATTCCCTCTCACCCACTCTCATACGCTCTCATTCCCTCTCACCCACTCTCATACGCTCTCATTCCCTCTCACCCACTCTCATACGCTCTCATTCCCTCTCACCCACTCTCTTACGCTCTCATTCCCTCTCACCCACTCTCATACGCTCTCATTCCCTCTCACCCATTCTCATACGCTCTCATTCCCTCTCATCCCTTCACATCCCTTCTCATTCACTCTCATATACTCTCATACACTCTCATCCCCTCACATACACTCTCATACACTCTCATCCCCTCACATACACTCTCATTCACTCTCATACACTCTCAACCACTCTCATCCACTCTCCTAAACTCTCATACTCTTTCATCATCCCTTATCATACACTCTCATTCACTCTCATTCACTCTCATCCCCTCTCATATCCTCTCATTCCCTCTCATTCCCTTTCATTCCCTCTCATCCACTCTCATCCCCTCACATACACTCTCATACACTCTCAACCACTCTCATCCACTCTCCTAAACTCTCATACTCTCTCATCATCCCTTATCATACACTCTCATTCACTCTCATTCACTCTCATCCCCTCTCATCCCCTCACATCCCATCTCATTCCCTCTCATACACTCTCATTCACTCTCATTCACTCTCATCCCCTCTCATCCCCTCTCATTCCCTCTCATACACTCTCATAGACTCTCGTACCCACTCATACCAACTCATACACTATCATATACACTCTCATCCCCTCTTATACACTCCCATACACACTCATACACTCTCATACACTCCCTTTCACTCTCGTGCACTCTCATCCCTGGTCATCCCCTCTCATCCCCTCTCATCCCCTCTCACACACTCTCCCTCATACACTCTCTTACACACTCTCATCCCTCCTCATCCACTCTCATACACTCTCAACTCCTCTCATCCTCTCTCATGCACTATCATACACTCTTAAACACTCTCATCCCCTCTCATACACACTCATACCCCCTAATCCGCTCTCATCCACTCTCATACACTTCCATACACTCTCATTCACACTCATCCCCTCTTATCCCTTCTCAGCCCCTCTCATACACTCCCATCCCCTCTCATACACACTCATCCCCTCTCATCCCCGTACACACACTCCCGTTCCCTCTCATCCCCTCTCATTCTCTCTCATTCCCTCTCATTCCCTCTCTTTCCCTCTCATCCCCTCTCATCCCCTCTCATCCCCTCTCATCCCCTCTCATACGCTCTCATACACTCTCTTGTCTGTGTGACATTCTCTCTTGTCCCCTAACTCTTGAAAGGCTCTCAATTTTCCCCCTTCCATTCTCTCTTATGCACAATACTACACCTTATATCCGCATGGTCTTATTGTCCAACAGAGCTTGAATCGGTCGTGAGGAACAACATGTTTCGCCTCATACGTTCAAGGTGAGAGGCTGAGGTTGAATACACATGATAACCTTCAAACTAGCTAAAGTGCATTGTTAACATCAGCCATCGTTCATTTCCAAACAAGAATTGTATAAAATAACTTGCAAACTTCCGTGTGGTATCCCTCCATCCGTTATCTTTTGGTCCTGTAGCAATTTTGATGTGCAGGAAGATGATGCTGTCAACATTTACAAGGGGAAGCTCTACCCAACTGCTGTAGCAGCAAGGGAGGAGGTGCGGTTGTACTGTAGGCAGCAGACGTTTGCTCCCTATTTCCGTTATAATCGGTCGAATCTCATTGAGGTGTGGTGCAAGTCCATGGAGGGCAAGGTATGGCCTCGTGGGGAGGTGCACATCGGAGAAGGGATGTGTCCATTCCGTGTTGTCATGCGGGGACCGCGCTTTAGTAACCTGCGGGTCACGGTGGCTGATTTGGATCACGCCGATAGGTGTGTCACCGAAGCTGCAAGGATTCGGAGGGATGAGGTCAAAGAGGTTGCGCGTGAGATGCTAAAGCATGGCGACGTGAGACCTCATGCGCTGATGAGTCGTGTTAGGGCGGTTTTACGTGTGGAGTGCTCGTACACGGTTGCGCGCGAGGTGCTCTTTGAGCTGAGGAATGCGGATCCGTTTTGTGGAGACGATGAATTTCAATACATGGAGGACCTGTTAGGAAAGTTCAAGGATAAAAACCCCTCATCTGTCGTGTCCATGGTCAGGCGGGAAAATCACTTCTACCGCGCAGGAATTATATTTCCAGGGGTGAGAGATGCGGTCATGAACTGCCTGCCCATCATTTTTGCGGATGGATGTTATAATAAGACCGCATGGGGGGGATACACCTTGAACATATGCATGTTGGATAGCCAACACAAACTTGTTATGTTGGGATGTGCATGGGTGGAGGGGGAAAACAAGCATGCATGCGCCTTCCTATTCAATCTCCTGCTGGAGGCCGTTCCGGAGGTGAACTCCTCCGACTTTGTCATGATGCATGATAGGGGAGGGGCATGGATATCCGCCACATCCACTTGTCTCCCCCTTGTACGGGAGTCTTTTTGCATCACCCATTTGGTTCGAAACTTCAAAAACAAGTTCAGGACAGATCTGGACGGACGAATTCTTGCAGCTGCCGCGGCTCTGACGGAGCTTGTGTACCTCAAGACAATGGAAAAAATTGAGATGGAATGTCCCGGTGGATCCTCGTACCTTGTGGACAATGGGTTGGGTGTTAAGTGGGCGACAGCTTATTTTGGAGCACCGCGTTACGGATGCTTGTCTTCCAATCCCGTTGAGTCTCACCATGCGTCGCTTTCGGGATTGCGGGATAAGAGTCCGCCGCAGGTGCTGCTAGGCTTGGCAGATAAGCTATCGACGAAGATCGAAGAGAGGCGCCAATTATACTCCGAGATGACAGTTGCTGACTTCCCTCCCAAGACAAAGCCAATAGTCATTGGGAATCGCGATGAGGGCAAAAGATACAGGGTGGCTGAATCGGGAGAACACGAGTACATAGTACGCCAAGGGGAGGAGAGGCGAGTCGTGACCACAAACCCCGAGGATCCTGCAGACACCCGCTGCTCATGTGGCTACACCAAGTAAGTGGTGTTTAGGTTCTGTTTTTAGCACTGCTAGCGTATGTTTCACTGGTGTATACTTGAATATTGTGTTCATCGGCTTCCTAAATGTCATGCAAGATCAACCCTCATATTGTACCCACTCTAAATTTTAGTCCCCAGTTATCATAAGAGGTCTGCGTAACTTATGAAATCCCCTTTCCTGCTCATTTATCCCAACATCAGTGGTATTTGGGGCGGCCTAAGAGCCATGTAATCTCGTTCCTGCTGCTATTATCATGTTGTCTACAACCTTATGCCCATTTTCTCCTACGTTATACCCTCTCTAACTTAATGCCCATTTGTCCCATTTATCACGAGCCTTCCCCGTGCGACATGGGGAATATGGCGATATGCGATATCCTGTTTAAACTGAAATTTCTAGTTGCCTACAACTCAAAGAACCTTCCCTATCCCTCCACCTTGCCCATGCAGGGGCATAAGGTCGCCAAAGTGTCGTGTGTACATATGCTTGCCGTAATCATATTTGCTGAATGTGGGCTTCTTTAAGCCATGTGTTCATGTGTGTTATGAAATCCTGCTGGTTTTAGCTATTCCTGCTGGTTTCAGTCATGCGTTAATCCCTTTTTACCTCTTCGCCCATTTATCCCAAAAACAGGGAATACGGGCTGCCATGCGTACACATCTTCGCCGTGTTCAAAAATGATGCTCAGAGGGCGCACGCAGTGATCCAGAAATATCACACAACTTCAGCACTGCAACAAGTGTACAGAACGCCGATCCGACTTCTCGACCCAACCTCTGTGGTCCCTGACGGCGTTACCCTCCCTCCGGTCTACAAGAAGAAGGCCGGTCGGCCACCAAAGCGTAGAATGCGGTCCACAGGAGAGATGGACCCAATCAAGTTGCGCAAGTGTGGAAAGTGCGGTGAGTACGGTCATAATGCCCGAACTTGCGAGGTCCGTGCAGCCAACAGAGTGTTGTGGGAAGCTTTACAAACCCCCGCAGGGCAATTGTCAGTGCAAACAATGACGGACGCAGATGGTGCAGTGCATGTAGCCCTGTGCAACGCTTGCAACCGAACGCACCGCAGAGGGATTAGGTGTCAAGCCATGCGTAGACAAGGACAGCCAGGTGATGTGGAGGAGGAGTCATGCAGCGAGGATGATGGGAGTGTCGGTTTGGTTGAAGGGATTGGTGAAGTGGATGAGGAGGGACGGGATGATCGTGATGCCGTGACATATGGTGGGGCGCTGGTCGAGGTGTTTGGTAGGGATCCCGGAACTGCCGGTGATGTTGGTCATGGTGAACGCACAACCACGAACTCAGACTTGCCCACTCAAACATATAATTTGGGGGCGACACAGATAGACATCACCCAAGAGAGTCAGGCGGGACGAGTGTCGGATACTTCGGTGGCCGAGCGGGTGGAAGGGTTGAGGACTGCGGAGGACGTGGTTGCAGGGCGTATACGGCGGATGCAGGGATTACTCCTACAGCGTGATGTGGCAAGACAGGCAGGAGAGGAGCGTGCAACAACTGAAGGTAGGGGCAGAGGCAGGGGACGCAATGCAAGCCGAGGAGAACGGGGAAGAGGGAGAGGGAGAGGCAGAGGCAGATATGGATCTCGGTCTACCACGGAACAGCAGGGAGGAGCTGAACGGTTGGAACAAAATGGTGGGAGCGGATTGGAAGGGATGGAAGGTCAGCAGGGGTTGAGAGGGCAGCAGAGGATGGGAGGGCAGCAGGGGTTGGGAGGGCAGCAGGGGTTGGGAGGGCAGCAGGGGTTGGGAGGGCAGCAGGGGTTGGGAGGGCAGCAGGGGTTGGGAGGGCAGCGGGGGTTGGGAGGGCAGCAGGGGTTGGGAGGGCAGCGGGGGTTGGGAGGGCAGCAGGGGTTGGGAGGGCAGCAGGGGTTGGGAAGGCAGCAGGGGATGGGAGGGCAGCAGGGGATGGCAAGGCAGCATGGGATGACAGGGGAGCAGGGGTTGGGAGGGCAGCAAGGGATGGGAGGGCAGCAGGGGTTGGGGGGGCAGCAGGGGTTGGGAGCGCAGCATGGGATGACAGGGCAGCATGGGATGACAGGGGAGCAGGGGTTGGGAGGGCAGCAGGGGATGGGAGGGCAGCAGGGGTTGGGGGGGCAGCAGGGGTTGGGAGGGCAGCAGGGGATGGCAAGGCAGCATGGGATGACAGGGCAGCAGGGGAGCGGCGGACAGGCGGGGTTGGGAGGGCAGCAGGGGTTGGGAGGGCAGCATAGGATGGGAGGGCAGCAGGATACGAGAGGCCAACTTGGGTCCCAGGATGCGTTACAAGGGCAATTTGGGTACGTTCAAGCCCTTAACCAACGATGGGGACGCGTGGGAATGCCAATGCATGGGAATGTTGCAGGTCTGGAGCAACGTTGGAGCCATGTGGGCATGCCATTGCAACGAGAGGTCGAGGGGTCGGCGTCTGGTATGCACAACAGGTCGTCGTGCCAACAGGGATACGAGAACAGCAACAGCTCTTTGCAGTAGAACGTGTGGGCTATGCATGTTATTATTCATGGATACAGGATTGACTTCAAGAGCGCTCTGCACCTGGTTTGATAGCATGTCCTTTTCTTTTATTTCCCACATTGTCTCTGCAACGTCACGAATGGTGGGGGCTTTGGGTATCAAAATACTCCAATGTCAGTGTATGGTGCTTATGTTTAACATTTAAAACAGGTAGTATCAAATGTTTAACATCTTCTAGTTGCATCATTCTATTGTTTGTGTTGTTCGGTGTGCACAATTTTAACAGGATGTTGGGGGGCATGAATGACAATGGTTGACAAGGCGTGTCGTGTACATACCAGCTGTGGCCTAGTGGAATGTTGTTTACAGTACCGTACAGTCATATGGGCATGCCACTCCAACAGTAGATTGCGGGTTGGTGCATGGATTGGACATTAGTTCTCCTTGCCAACAGGGACAGAGAACAGCACCACTTGGGACTATGGTATGCATGGTTGTAGGTTCTCCCTCAAGAGTGTTTTTCATCTGGTTTGCTGGCGGACCTTCCCCCTTCCACATGGTATTGAATCATGCTTTGGCAAGCGTATGATACGTTCAGAACGCGGTTAGATTCGCACGTGTTAAACTGCTCAAAAATGTCTTGCCATATTTATCTCAAACACAAGTGTTGTTCGGTTTCCTCCTATACGAGGACACCTTGTTGTGGGCCGAGGGAGTGAGTGGGGCAGTTGCGTGATGCTACCGTATACTCCCGGACAAAACACCCCCCCATAATTGTACACCCCCGGGTAGCTTGTGCGGGGTGGGTGTTATGGGGAGCCTCGTTTCTACTATACCCCCCTTTTTGCCTGATTCTCTATAAGACCCGGGGGGGGTGTTATGGGCGGCAAAAATACTGAATTTGCTTACTGTACATTGCATACAGGGTACTTTACAGGTACTACAGAAGTAATGTGCCAGCACATAGTCATCGACAATGTCACCTAGACTGTAGAAACATCACCACAAGAGCACCTCACATCCACAATTTCACCTAAAAAAACTCTATACAAAGTGCCTTCTACTCAGAATCGTCTCCTGCATGCCATTCTTCACTGTCTTCCCCGTCAAAGCGGCCAGGGCACCACCATTCGTCATCGCTGGGCTCTTCTGCCTCCCCGCCTTCCTCAAGCACGCCCCCCTCCTCCTCTGCCGCCGCCGCTTCCGCGTCCTCCTCAGCGGCGTCAGCCTCCTCTGCCGCCGCCTGCAGCTCCTCGGCCGGCATGGGGACTTCGGCGTAGAAGGGGTTGACGACGAGCTCGTCGTCAACCAGGTCGTTGACGTCGTCAAGGACTTCCACCTCACATGTGGGCAAGGATGAGGTGGTCCTCGCTGCCATTGATGGGGGTGGAGATCCCACACGTGACGAACGCCTTCTTCACGAGCTCCTCTGGGATTGCTTCCCAGGACTCATCGATCCAGCGGAGCACCAACTCCGCTGGCGGCTTCTTGAGATTGCCTGAGGGATGGGGAAGGGTAGAGAAGGACAAATGTGAATTTCCAGAGCGTAAGCCGACATTGATTCAAAGTTACACATGCGGATGTCATGGTTCAACTCACCGGACTTGGTGGTGGTGTTGATGCCCTCTTCTTCGAACCAGCCACTGTAGCGATGACGCACACCGCACTTGAACGCGCGGTTGATCGACACATCCAGAGGCTGCACTAGCGGAGTGCAGCCCCCTGGGATGACAGCCCGTGACAGCCGAAACATCCGCATGGTCTGCCCGACCGCCTCAGTCAAGTGGTCGCGGTAGGAGTCGAGCACAACCAAGGCCTCCCTGCGGCGTCCAGTTGATTCACACAAGGGCTTCAGAAACGGCACCATCACCTGGGTGATCCAGTCCTACACAAGTGATTCGTCCATCCACCCTTTGTCTTGTGCACGGACCACCACACCTGCCAAAGAATACTGGTACGTCAGGGTCAAATTCGGTTGCGACTGTTGACAGGCTAGAGAAGTGACATCATCCTAAACGTGCTACGCTTACCGGCAGGGATGGGCACCTTCGGTATGGTCTTGCGCTTGAACACCACGTACGGCGGCAGCTTGAGCCCGCTCGCAGTTACTGCCAGCATGACAGTAACACGCTCCTTCTCATAGCCCGCACTCCGTACGTGAACCGTCCGCGCTCCCTTCATTTTGAGCGTGCGCTCCGCCGGCATCTCCAGGAAAAGCGGGGTTTGGTCCGCGTTCAAGATGAGGTCAAGCGGGTAGTCGTGCAGAGAGCGCATCTGGCGCACAAACTCCCAGAAGGACTCCACCTTGGCCTTGCAATCTGCAAGCAAAGCCACGAGACACATTAGCTCAGCACTGAGATGGCAATCAAGGAGCACGACGGCGCAACACTTACCCGCTGCCAACTTCTGTCCCATCTTCGTCTTCACCCGCCTCGCCAGATGCCAGCGCGTGCGGAAACGAGTCGCCCAGCGGAACGATGCGCGCCAGTTGACCCCGGGCATCCGGTGCTTCATGTACTTGGCGCTCCACTTCTGGAGCATGCTGACCGAAACGGCGAGCCCCCTCTCCCTGTGCTTGAGGAACTGGCGGTAGACCGCCCGTTCCATGAAAGGGAACTTGGACTTGCGGCCAGCTCCCATGAGGCGACGACGGCAGCTGGAAGAGACCTCCAGCCGCTCCCTCATCTTCTTCCAATCGCGGATCTGGCATGGCTGCACCATCGCGAGCTTCGCCAGGGCGCGATTCGACAGGTCGGGCTGCGAGTCCTGCATCTTCAACTAGTGGAGCTTCTCCTTCGCGGTGATTCCCTTGCGCTGGTGTTTCGTCATGCGATGGCGAGGGGATGGCGGGTCAGCATCGGCGTTGCGCTTCTGCTGTCCCTGCGGGCGGTTCCGCTCCGGGAACGTGGGGACAACCACTCGAGGAAGGGTAGGGCGAGGACGGTCCAAGCTACTGCTCGGTTCATCCCTGGTAGAAGCACTACCGGGAGCATCCGGCTGAGGAAAGATCGGGCGAGGAGACGTCCGTGCGCGTGCAGAAGCGCTAGTCTGATTGGTGGAAACAGGCCGCTGCCGCCTATCTACCGTACTGCTAGAATCTGGAGATGAAGCCATGCTTGGGAACTAAGGCAAGTCGATGTCACTCGCCATGGGAGAATTGACTTTAAAGACGATACCCTCGTGCACAGGAAGGAGACGCTCTCACAGCCTGCTGAGCACTTGTCAAAGACGTGCACTGGAACCGCTTGACGAAGAGAAGAGCAAGCTTGGGTGAGGAAGCTTGGACGTGACTACCGTACACGGCAGTCAAGGGGTCACAGATACAGTGACAACACAGCACCATGCGCGATTCCGGCCTCGTACTGCATGAACCCAAGCTGCGCGAGGTTGGCACTGATGTCAACCAATCAGGTGGCACAGTGGGCCCACTGGAATTTGCCATGTGGCAGATTCCAGTGGAGGCCGACGTTATCCTCGTAGACGCGGTTTGGCGGCCCTGATCAAAAAAATAATAATAAGGCCAGACCCCTGTTTTTGTTTCCATTCATTTCTGCTTATAAAAAAATGTGCAATATAATAAGACCCGGGTATTATGTATTTTTTTCCTATGAGGAGACCCCCCCCATTTTTTCCCTGTATTTTTAGCTATACCCTAGGGTGTTATGTCCGGGAGAATACGGTATATGACTTCCCTTCCATCCCTGTAGGGGTTTAGATGGTACATACGGTAAATGTGTCAAATTATGTATGTACAGTATGTCACATGGTTTTGGACGGTGCAGTATTGCACATATGCGATTGCTGAAAGCAGAGCTGGTGTTTGATACAAATGTTTCAGAACCCGCACGACAGTATGCAGTGGTGATTGTATTAAAATAACATACAACGCCTTAATTCTATCATGTTTTTGATTGTCTGATCAGCTTTGTGTCCCACGGAGAAGCCAGCCACACTTTTACTAGGAAACATGCTCGCAGATGATCGCAAACGTATTGCATTTGCATATAATAGTCATGGGCAATGAGGAGGACTAGCATGTACACATTACTGCTGTGAGTGGCAAATGTGTGGCACTCTTGTGCAAACAGTCCACTCTCACCAACATGTTGATCACGAATTCGTAAACCAGATGATGATTATATATTACTGCAATACCAACTGCTATTCATAGTGGTAGTGGTGGCCCACTCGTTATATCCAGCATTAAACCGTCCAAAGTGACGAGGAAATATCTCAACACCACGCTTATCGTCCATGTACCTCATCGACAGGCACAGTCTCACCTACCACTAATCACCGCCAACACCAATTTACCCACCCTCTAACCGTCACCTTAGGTAACATTCATAGGTGTATGAACAAGGTAAGCTCCTCTCATCTCTTCTCCTTCCGCCATCCCATCTCCTGCAACCAGCATAGTATGTGTCTTGCAGCCATGTCCTTCGCAGTCCTCAACCCGCGCCCGTCCACCGATATATCCGGCACTCTTGGTGGGTCCATCATCGTCATGGTGATTTGCCGTCTCCCTTGTAGGAGACGGGATGAGAGTGAATGAGAGGGGATGAGAGGGGATGAGAGGGGATGAAAGGGGATGAACGTGAATGAGAGGGGATGAGAGGGAATGAGAGCGTATGAGAGTGGGTGAGAGGGAATGCGAGCGTATGAGAGTGGGTGAGAGGGAATGAGAGCGTATGAGAGTGGGTGAGAGGGAATGAGAGCGTATGAGAGTGGGTGAGAGGGAATGAGAGCGTATGAGAGTGGGTGAGAGGGGATGAGTGTGTATGAGAGTGGGTGAGAGGGAATGAGAGCGTATGAGAGTGGGTGAGAGGGAATGAGAGCGTATGAGAGTGGGTGAGAGGGAATGAGAGCGTAAGAGAGTGGGTGAGAGGGAATGAGAGCGTATGAGAGTGGGTGAGAGGGAATGAGAGCGTATGAGAGTGGGTGAGAGGGAATGAGAGCGTATGAGAGTGGGTGAGAGGGAATGAGAGCGTATAAGAATGGGTGAGAGGGAATGAGAGCGTATGAGAGTGGGTGAGAGGGAATGAGAGCGTAAGAGAGTGGGTGAGAGGGAATGAGAGCGTATGAGAGTGGGTGAGAGGGAATGAGAGCGTATGAGAGTGGGTGAGAGGGAATGAGAGCGTATGAGAGTGGGTGAGAGGGAATGAGAGCGTATGAGAATGGGTGAGAGGGAATGAGAGCGTATGAGAGTGGGTGAGAGGGAATGAGAGCGTATGAGAGTGGGTGAGAGGGAATGAGAGCGTATGAGAGTGGGTGAGAGGGAATGAGAGCGTATGAGAGTGGGTGAGAGGGAATGAGAGCGTATGAGAGTGGGTGAGAGGGAATGAGAGCGTATGAGAGTGGGTGAGAGGGGATGAGAGTGTATGAGAGTGGGTGAGAGGGAATGAGAGCGTATGAGTGTGGGTGAGAGGGAATGAGAGCGTATGAGAGTGGGTGGGAGGGAATGAGAGCGTATGAGAGTGGGTGAGAGGGAATGAGAGCGTATGCGAGTGGGTGAGAGGGACGGAGAGGGGATTCAACGTAACAAATGTGGACTAGAGAGCAGTCAGGCACGAGGTAGCATAAAAGAAAGGCGTGGCAATTTGCCATAAGCCGCGGCTTTGGCCGGGGATGACACGGCATGCGAGGGAGTGAGGAAAGATGGGTATTGCGCATGGCGACGGCGGCGGCCTGGTCGGCGCGATGCGCGGAGCGGCCAAAAGCAGGACGCAATGCGCATCGCGGCGGCGGCGGCCCGGTCGGCGCGATGCGCTTTGCGGCCCGAAGCTGGCCGCAATGCGCATCGCGGCGGCGGCTGCTCCTGATCGTCGCGATGCATCTCGCGACGATCGGGCCCGATGCATCGGGCGATGCGCTGTTCGGCGCGCCGGTTTGTGGGCGCATCGCGACAGCGGTCTGATCGACTTTATTCATTCATACTAGTAGTAATTTTCGAGTAACAAGGGACTAAACGTGAATGGATGGGGAAAGGCTTTAGGGCTAAGGCACGCACCGTTGATAGACGTCAGGTGCTGCTAACGAACGCCTTGGATGCGTGAACGGGAAGCCAGCTGGTGAAAGCTATAGTTTCTGGTAATAGCGTGAGGAATAGCTGATGGCGGGTAGTAAGTTGGAGAGCTGCGCTGGGGTCAAGGTTCTGTACTTGGTTGGAACCGTAGCGAGCAGGGGGGTGTACAGCACGTTGGGTCATGGTGTGGTTACCGTGGGCTGGAGGCTCGACGGTACAAGCGTGCATCAAACCTCTCGGCAGGGGACTTGGCGCGAGCGGGAAATCGGCCTGGTTTCAGGAATTTCTGGCGGGGGTTTCATGTGTTACCATTCGCGTGATTTTTGAGCTGTTGATAGTGACTGAATCCGTGACCCCACTTACCAAGCCCGTCAGGATACTCGATACAGTTACCGTACGCTTTTTATTTTTACCATTGACGTTATCGGTCACATGATTGTTACCTGTGACATATTTTCCCAACAGTCATTGTCGTTTTACTGTAGAGAAAAGCTTCTCGTGTATTGATACCGCTTATGGTGCAAAAGCTCCATTACTTGCTAACAAAACAAATATGTACACTAATCCAGCACATATTCAGACTGTCCATGACGTACCCCCCCCCCCCCCCCCCCTCTCCCCCCCCCAACCCAGTGCATACTTATTTACAAATCAAACAGGAAACGCCAAGTGAAACTTTGTATTGTAATGCTCTGGGAGTGTGGGGGACGAATGGAGCCCATTTAATGAAGAGCACGGGAGACAACAAGAGTTGATGCTACAGCATGCAGCACCACTGCAGAGAAGAGGCAAGCTAGAATGGGGTGGAACTCGGCAGGGCTACAATAGCGAGCTGATTAGAGTGAGCCTGAGAATTAGAGCGATTCTGCAGGTTAGACTGCTTTAGTGGGTTAGACTTCGCCTATAAGTTATAGCAGGTTCAAGCGAACCTGTGGGTTAAAGCGAACTTGTGGGTTAAAGCGTAGCTGTGCGTGCAGCACCATTAGGTCGGGGAGGGCGAGAGTGAAAATAGCTGGTTAGGGCGAGCATGTGGGTTAGAAGGCTCTGGGTCTGGGGAGGCGAATGGAGCCCATTTGATGGAGTGCGAGAGAGACAAAGAGAGTTGATGCTACAGCATGCAGCACCACTGCAGAGAAGAGGCAAGCTAGAATGAGCGCTGAAGTGGGAAGGGCTAGGATAAGCAGCACGGCTGATTGAAGATCCGTGGAGAGTAAAGTTCTAAAGGCTGAATGTGAGCTGTGGATTGATGTGAATTCGTCAGATGGGGGTTGAAGTGAGAGGTAAGGGAGAATTGAGATTAGGGGCATTGACGGCATGAGCAATCGAGGGTTTGGCTGCGAGAAAGGAGGAACAAGCGATGTGGTGGTGTACAGTGTTGTTAATGACGACGATGCGTCGATATTTGTCACCACGGGTGTAAATGGTGTAGCTGGTACATACGATGGGATTGCAGCGCGCAGGAGGTTATGCAGCATGGCGTTTTGGATGATTCCAGTGAGCAGGAAGCATGCTGCTGCGAGGCTGGAAAGAACCCCTATCAGGCCAAAGTTGAGGGCGAGATAGGCGTGGGAGTAGCGGCGCAGCAGACGGAGGGTCATGGAGAGAGAGGGGAGGAGGGGCGATGGAGTCTGCACAGATACTGATAAGAGCACTCTGTAGGGGGGAAAGACAAGAGGGAGGGCGGGGGGGGTGGAGGGGGGAAGGAGAGACGGGGTATTAGATAGAGCGGAAGTGAGGTGAGGAGAGGGGACGTGACGAAGACGGGAGGTGTGAAGGAGGGGAGCACCCTTGGGAGGCTAGGAGTGAGGGAGGAGAGAACTTCCAGGGCCAAAGTTTGAGGGCGAGATAGAAGTGGGAGTAGCGGAGGAGAAGACGGAGGGTCATGGAGAGAGATGGGAGAAGCGATGGGGTCTGCACTGACACCGATAGGAGCACTCTGCAGGTGGGAAGGGGGAATGGGGAAAGAAGAGAAAATTCGTGAGAGAGCGAGGGACGGGAGGAGAAGGGTTGCTGAGAAGGGAGGGAGGTGAGAGGAGGCCAGATGGTGTATGCATGGACACACATAAGAGTTTGGTGAGGGTCTCACATGGTGAGGAGGAGCAGGGCGAAGTCGAGGTGAATGGCGGTAACCACCCCAAGCACCACTGGCAAGCTGAAGTCCGTGAACTCAAGTAGAGGCGCCACTGCAAAGGAAACAGCTGTGGGCCAAATACCTTGAATGTGGTAAAGGCCGAGGTGGAACTAAGGTCTCACATGGTGAGGAGGAGAAGGGCGAAGTCGAGGTGAATAGCGGTAACCACCCCAAGCACCACTGGCAAGCTGAAGTCTGTGAACTAAAGTAGAGGCGCCACTGCAAAGGCAACAGCTGTGGGCCAAATACCTTGAATGTGGTAAAGGCCGAGGTGGAACTAAGGTCTCACATGGTGAGGAGGAGCAGGGCGAAGTCGAGGTGAATGGCGGTAACCACCCCAAGCATCACTGGCGTGCTGAAGTTGGCGAACTCAAACAGAGGTGCCACGGGAAACGCCACAGCGAGGAGAGCCAAAGGCGAGCTGCCTTAAGGGATGCGATACAGGCAGGCAGAAGGATGGGTTTGAGGGTTCTGAACGAGGGACTCACATAGTGAGGAGGAGCAGGGCGAAGTCGAGGTGAATGGCGGTAACCACCCCGAGCACCACTGGTGTGCTGAAATCGGTGAACTCAAAGAGAGGCGCCACCGCAAAGGCGACAGCCAGGAGAGTGGATGCGATGGCTGAGACGATTAGGAGCGAGGGGAAGAAGGCTGCATCAAAGTTGTGAGAGGCGAGCCTGAGAGGTGGGGATGATAGCATAGGGGAGAGAAAATCTACACGTTTCAGAACTACAAGGAGCAATGTGAGATGGAGATGCAAGCGGATGAAGGCGACATGCAAGTGGCGTGAGTTCTACTTGCAGCTGGGGCAGAGGATAATGATGTGGCATATTTGGTAGCAGGAACTTCAATGGAGGTTGCGGGAATAGCATCGAGGGGATGAAGGGAGAGGGGAGGGGGGAGAGGGAAGTGGGGGACTTTGGATGTTCAGAACCACAAGGAACAGCGTGAGGGGGCACTGTGACAGGGCAAGAGAGGGCAACGTGAGGGCAATGTGAGAGGGCAATGTAAGAGGGCAATGTAAGAGGATGAAGGCGGCCCGCAAGTAGCATGAGCTTTGGCAGCAGCTGTTGTTTGCGACCGACTCAAAGGATCACCTGAAAGAGCTTTGCAGCAGTTGCCACTGCGCATGCCACGTCAGCATCTCGTCCTCCGATCCCAGAATCAGCCGCTGATGTGGACGAGATCCTGCCACGCACCCCCTGGACAGACCTCTGGATAAGCTTCGCCTCCCCGCTACTCCTAATACAGCTTCCGAACCTAGCGTAGCTTCTTCTTCCGAACCTTCGGTGGCTTGGTCTCCTGGAACCGCTCCTGGAACCGCACGTTCTCCTGAAACGGCTGGTTCTCCCGAAGCAGCTTCTACTCCCGAGGCAACACCTACCTCTCCACTTCCTGATAAAACCCCCTTGCAAGTATCTACGGATTGGTTAGTTCCTGGTGCTGCTGGCACTGCTGCTGCAACTGCCAATGCTGGTGGTGCTGTTGCTGCCTCTGCTGCCAAAACTCTCGCTGCTGCTGCTTCTGCCTGCTGTTCATACTGTTTGATTTCCCCCTGCGGCTGTGGTTTCATCTCTTTTGGTCTCACAACGCCTTGCTCACATTCCTCTCCCTCCTGCTCCGCCTGTCCCTCTCCCTCTTCCTCCACCTCCCTCTCCCCCTCCTCCGCCTTGCCTTTTTCGCTTTCCTCCGATTTCCTCCCTTCCTCTCCTTCCTGCCGCTCTTGCTGCCCTTCCCCATGACGACACCCCCCTTCCACCTGAACCATCGCCCCTTTACCAGCGACAGTAGCTTCGAAGTGACCCTCTTCCCCCTGCTCCCTCTCGCTTCCCCCCACTTCCTTCCCCTTCCCCCCTATGTTCCCCTCGGTTTTACCTTCCAGCCGCCCCTCTTCGAGTTGCCCCTGTTCAAATCGCCCCTCTTCTCCCCACTCCCTCACAGAGTCACAAACATCTACAATCTCCTCCTCACCACCCTCACTCCCACTACTCTCCTCACTCCCCTCCATCACTCCCCCTCGCCCCCCCACAACCTCCCCTTCCCCTACTGCTATCGGGAGGTGCATATAGAGAGCGACAAACGCAGAGACCAGCAGCCACAGCAGCAGCAGACCAACACACGCCAGCCACAGCACGCCAGACCCCACTATAACCTCCTCGCCTTTAGTCACACCCCAGGGCGCTAGCGCCTCCCTCCATTCCGCACAGCACTGTGCTACCGGACCTGACACGGAACCGGCCGCCGGACCTCCGCCTGATTCTACCGAAGCTGACCCTCCTGCACTATGCACCGCCGAACCAGTAGCCTTCACGTCTGGAACCGCCGAGCCTGATGCTTCCAAACCAGGCTGGACCTCCGAGCCTTGCCATGTGGAACTGGAGCCAAAGGCTTGACCGGGCATTCGAAATCCTGCACTCGGGCAGACAACGAATAATCGGATCGCAGCAAGAAACCAGGGCAGGAGGAACAAAAGAGCGGCAACAGACAGCAGAGGGGGCAGCAGCAGCAGAAATCGGACGGCTCTGGATGGGAGAAGCCCAGTCGATCGTAGGGCTGAGGATGCAAGAGAGAAGTGACTGGGATGGTGGGAGCGAGGGGAGGAAAGGAGAGGGGAGGGTGGGGATGAGGGGATGAGGAGGAGGAAGAGGAGAATCAGGCCTATGGAACCGGCTAGGAGAGAGATGAAGAGGGCTAGTAACCTTTCGTCAGGGGAAATGCCTAGCTTGCGAGGAGAGAAAGAGTTGAAGAGGTGCATGTGATGGAAGAGTAGTTTAGAACGGTGCAGAAAGGTAGACGCAGAGATGTTTTGGGGGTTGGAGAGGGTTCTGAGACTGGTGAGGGTCTGGTGGATCGCCTGGGTCTGGATTGGCTGCGGTTGCTGCGCTATAATAGCTTCGATAGTCGCGTATAAGCATAGTAACAAGAGAATCAGCGTTAACGCGCGGAGAGCAGAGGCCGAGAGACGGGAGAGGAGGTATAGGGAGCCTAAGAGGAGAGGTAAGGGGGCGAGTATGGAGAGAAGGAGTGCGAGGAAGGGAGTGAGGGAGAAGAGTGGGGAGATGAGGCGAAGGAAGGATGAGCAGGACCATGGAGGGTAGAAGAAGAGGGTTTCGCGGAAGGTGAGGTATGCCAGGAGGAGGAAAGTGAGGAGGGAGAGGAGGAAATTGTGTGTGGGGAGGTGGATGCTGTGAGAATCCGCTTCGTTCAGGAGATTATGCGCGGATAAGTGACGGCGGATGGGGCGTGTTATAACGGGACGTGCTAATAGCGGGGATTGCAGGGATTCTCGCGAGCTGGGGAGTGAGAGGGAAGAGGGGTCATCCGAGGCTGGGTGTGACTGTATCGGATGTGACGGAGGCGAGCGAAGTGGGGTTCCGTTGGGCGATACAAATCTGGGGTGACGAGAAACGGTTATAGTAGACCTTGATTCAGCTGCTGGTGCTGACGTCAGTACTGATGACGTGTACTGCTGGCTTGCTGACTCAGATGACATGGCTGCGTCAGGGGGATGCACTGCCTGGGTTGAATCTGCTTGCTGAATTGATATTTTTTCTAGTGAACCTGCTTGAGCTTCTGTCGGATGTGCTTCTAATGAGGGTGTTACGCTCCCAAAACTCCGGTGCGTAGATTTCGGCTGCTGAGAGCTCATTTTGGAATGAGAGGAGTGACGAAGACACCAAAGGCTGCTTGAACGCTTGTATAAGAAACATAGGCGGAGGAGGTGACTGAAACGAGAAAGCGTGCAAATTTTGTCAGAGAAACAATGAATGAATTCTACGAAACTGGACGGACTGATTAGTGGCGTCGAGCGGTATGACAGAGTCGTGATCGTCACGTACTGGACAGAGCTACGACCTGATATCGATAGGACGGAACTTGACGGCAACGCAGATCAAGCTACTTGCATATCAGATACAACAACAGCTTGAAAACTGAAGAATGACTCTATCTCTCAGCGAAAACGTCTCGGGGAACGGAGAACCGAAGTGGGAATTATTGATTCCTTTGGAAGATGCCATTGAGCTTTGATTGACGTGACGTGTTTGGCTGACTCAGGGAGTGCCTCAGGTGTTGCCTTCAAATTCACGTACTACTTTTCGCCTGGTGCGTTGCGGTCCAAAGCAGGTAAAGGAAGGTACTGTGGTTTATTGGTGACTAACGCCGCGACACCTCCAAGATTCTCGTGATCCGACAGATTCCTCTGATCAGGCAGATTCCCTGACAAGTGACCGTTGCATTCGTTTCGCGATTAACGATAGACCCTCGCGAAAATTGTATAATCCAATCGTTGAGGTTACGACTACGCTGCTGACTATCCACCACATTTCGTCCGATTGTGTGATGCGAGGCTTTGATGTTCCTTTCCCAACCAGGGTAACTCCCTCGAAAGAATGCCTGAAATCTCGCAGCCGTGTGTATTTTCCAGACTCAGGAATTCGTCGAGCCTCGTTATGGTTTCGTCGAGACCCCCCCCTCATCGCCAGTTCCAATCCCATCTCCCATTTGGTTATCACAATCGTGGATGGAAGCTGCTAGAAGCATGTGCTAGGCCAGCAACTCGCCCCCAGTTCAAACCGCTTAGTTCCTTCGCCACATAGTATCTCTTTGAGCTAACCATTGCATCGATTTTCCGCTGCTGCGGCTGTTTAATCTCTTACAACCACTCGAAAAAATGGCTTCAGCTACCGTCCATTCCCGACTAAGATGGTCGCCCGTCCAACTTCCACGGCTTCATGCATCAAAAGTGAAGCATTCTGTCAGGGTATTTATGCCCAAACTGGAGACAAGAAGCCTTTTCCTAACAGCAGTCGGTGAAAACGAGAAGTCTAAGCAGCGAATAATAGGGGTCCGGCTTGATAATAGTCGCGTCAGTCAGAGGTTTCGCACCAGGATTCTCTCCAAGCACAATCCTGAAACAGGTAAGCTGTTATTCAGTGAGTGACTGTGGGTCGTTCTTAGACTCTTTTAGAAACAGGTCACTGGATAAGCGTCTGTTCGTAAGGTGGTGCTTTCAATCCACTGCGTCAGAGTCAACCACCTCTCCCCATTGAAAAAAGTTGGGTTTTGAGACGTCTCAAAAGTTGGGTCCCCCCACTGGATAAGGTTCTGCTCTCACTCCACTGGGTCAGTGTCAACCACCTCTCCCCATTGAAAAAAGTTGGGTTTTGAGACGTCTCAAAAGTTGGGTCTCCCCGCTGGATAAGCGTCCGTTCTCACTCCACTGCGTCAGTGTCAACCACCTCTCCCCATTGAAAAATGTTGGGTTTTGAGACGTCTCAAAAGTTGGGTCTCCCCGCTGGATAAGCGTCCGTTCTCACTCCACTGCGTCATTGTCAACCACCTCTCCCCATTCGCAAACGTCAGCTGTTTTAGAGCAAGCTTTCAACGCGAAACATCTCAGCGCATTTGATTCTCTGCAGTTACCGTACCTTGCCACTCTTTGTCGCAGGCGAGACGGACTTTGCAACTGAAAGTGATGAATTCGCGTCACTGAATCACTAGCCACCACCGCCTCCCCCTTGTATTCCGTCACCACCTCACTTCGCCACTCTCTGTCGCAGGCGAAACCAATTGAGGGAGGCTTTGAGTTAACTGAAGAGTGGCGAATCCATTCCACTGAATCACCAACCACCACCGCCTCCCCCTTGTATTCCATCACCACCTCACCTCGCTACTCTCCGTCGCACTCGAGACGGATCGAGGCGACCTTTGAGTTGACTGATAAGTCGTTAATCCACTCCACTCCGCTGAATCACTATCCACCAACGCCTCCCCCACATATGTTGTCACTGCCTCACTTCGCCCCATTCTGTGGCAGGCGAGGCGGATTTTCCAGGCGAATCTCGCTTCGTGGAGGTCAGTGGAAGCCTCGATTCCTCTTTCCTGCTCTTATTTTGAGCATTTGTGTTTCGGTTCGAGTCCATACATATCTTGAATAGCAGCGGGCTGGCATGGGATGGCATGGGATGGCATGGCATGGTACTATGGGATGGTATGGGTTGGCATGTGCTGGCATGGGATGGAGCTGGCATGTGACATGGGCTCAACTTAAGGTTTCTGGCAGTGGCTTCAGCCCATCCTTCCATTTCCACCCAGCTCACCCTCCTCCCTCTTCGAGTATATTTGACTCTCATTGATTGGGAGTCATTCTTTAGAATTTGTAATGACGGATATTTAAACGTTCCTCCTCCCTACCTCCCTTTCTTTCTATTTTCATCCAGCCCACCTCCTCCCAATCAGAATTGGCCAAGTCGCCTCCCCCCCCCACCTCCAATTCCTCCTCCCCTGAACCATCAACGGATGGCCCGACTTTGACTCCGGACCCATCCTCGCCGACAGGCTCGGAATCAGGCACGGTGCTAGGCTCGGTGTTGGACTCGGACCCGAGCCAGCGGCGGACTGTTCAGGTGACGTTCACGTGTGGAGTGTGTGGAGCCCGCACCTCTCGGCTGGCCAACCCCCTGGCGTTGAAGAAAGGAACAGTTTTTGTGCAGGTGAGAAAAGGGGGGTAGGGACGGACAGCAAAGGGAACGGTTGATGGGGAATGGGAATGAGGGGGTGGGAGAAAAGAGGGGGGGGGGGGGGGACGGGGAAGGGTGGGGATTGAGGGAGTGCGGGAGTGAGAAAGGGAGGAGGGGAGGAAGGGAGGAGGTAAGGGCAGTGTGCAGTTGGCTTTTACATGTGGAGGCGCCCGCACCTCACGGCTGGCCAACCCCCTGGCTCTGAAGAAGGGAAGAGTTTTTGTTCAGGTGAGGGAGGGAGAGGGAGGGGGAAGGGGAATGGGGACTGGGAATGGGGGATGGGGAATGCTGGATGGGGGGTCGGGGAATGAATGAAGTGAGGGATTGTGGGAGTGAGGAAGGGAGGAGGGTAAGGGCAGTGTGCAGGGTGACGTTCACGTGCGGAGTGTGTGGGACCCGCACCTCACGGCTGGCCACCCCCCTGGCACTGAAGAAAGGCACAGTGTTCGTGCAGGCGAGGAAGCGAGAGGAACAGACAAAAGCGGGGATGGTGGATGGGGGATGGTGAATGGGGAATGGGGAATGGGGAATGGGAGGGTTGGGAAAAGCAGGAAGGGGTGGATTGAGGGAGTGAGAAAGGGATGAATATTGGGGAGGAGGATGGGTGAGGAAGATGACTCTCTAGTTCGTTTCCCTTCAGTGCCCCATGCCTCATTGTACTGTGCCTAATGTGACAAGACTACTATGTTTATGTCGTTTGTGCTAATGCGCCTCGTCCTTCTGTATTGCTCATGCCCCATTCTTCCCTTGTTCCTCATCGTCCCCCTGTTGCGCTCTGCAGTGTGGTGGCTGCGAGAAGTTTCATCGATTAGTGGACAATCTGGGTCTTATTGTGGAGTACGATTTTCGGAACGAGAGTGAAAGCGAGAGTGGAAGTGAGAAAAGTTAATGTGCGTACTGCATCAACATATCTCCTTATATGGCGTCTTCATGAAATTTTATCAGTGATTAGTTAAGATGGAGAGGGAAGGAGAGAATGGAGGGGGGAATAATATGTTGAAGCATTTCTTGTAAAAGTAAGGCGTTGTTGGCCTTTTCATGACAAGGTTCTGCCTGGTAAAGTTACCCTTCTGTTTTTCCGTCTCGTTCGTGAAAGCTGCTTTTCCTCGCTGACTCCACCCACTTTCGGGAGCCACGTCCACGAGCAGCGAAGCAGCACAGAAATAACAAGGAACAAACGAATGGTCGCGATTTCTCTAGCAGCATCCAGCGGCCCGAAAGCTCTCGATTCTTCCGTGGAGGAGAACACGTACGACTGATCTCCGCGACACGGCAGGTATCTTCTTGGAGAAGCGAACTGAACCGAGGCCGGGAGAGGCACATGGATTGTGTGCATTCAGATTGATTGACTATCCTACTCCACCCTTTCTGAACGCGATCGCACCGCTTTGAAACACGTAGTAGGATTTAGTCTCCATAAATCACGAGATTGTCCGAGTAGCAAGTCCGAGAGTGAATGTTGTGACGAAATTGCCTCTCTTCAGTTCTCCTGTCTTGTGCAAGAATCAATCCAGTTTATTACGCTCTCTCTACATCTCAAGAAGGAAAGCGTTGCCGAAAACAGGTCTCTCCGAAAAGCTGTTCGGAAATATTAAAGTCGGGTCTGTCTTTTGACTTCTGGTTTGATCGACGCATTTTCTAAGTAATATCGGTTTTAGCAGTAGTCCTGTTTTGAGCATTGAAAGAAACAACCAGGCTTGATAGGGGACCAACATGGATTTCGAGCTGCGGAGGGCGCAGCAGCGATACGAGAAGGAGCAGCGTGAGAAGCGGGAGGCGGCGCGGGTGAAGGCGGAGAGACAGAGAAAGGCGAAGGAAGAGATCGAGGCGCGTCGGAGGGCTATCGAAGAGGCGCAGAGGCTTAAACGACTGGAGGAGGTTGCAGCTGCTGAAGCAGTGAGTGATTAGATTTGATGTAATGAGATTAGCTGCGTTTAGGGTTGGAGTGTACAGCAGGAAACAGCCAACAATTCGTACCTTTCCTGTTCTTTTCGTTCTCCGTTTTTCCTCACGCTTCTCTTTTTTCCTCTCTTTTTTCGATTTCGAAACATTTTACCCCCATTCTTATTTCTGTAATTTTCCCGCCGTCAGGCTCGACGGCAATCAGAGGCGGATCTGCAAGCAGGAGGCGGCATCAGCTTCAATCGCGCTAAGTCCACTCAGAAATCATCATATTCTCCCTGTTTCTGTTTCCATCATGTTTTCGCCGCCAGGCTCGTCGTCAAGCCGAGGCGGATCTGCAAGCAGGAGGCGGCATCCGCTTCAATCGCGAGCTGATCCCCGTCGCTATAACGGGCGACCGCGATAAGATCACACTCCCTCAATCGGTGTTGTCCGATCTCCCGCTAGACGAGGCCCTCGATAGAGGACCCATGCTCTTCGAGCTCTCCGTTCCGCGCGCCGTTGGCGCAAGCGCGGCAGGCGCAAGCGCAACCGGCGGGATGGAGGCGGATGGGGAGGAAGAGGATGACGCAGACGAGTGTGGTTATGCGGTGGATGTTGATCTTAACGGGGGTGATTATAACGGGAGGAGAGTGAAGCGGGGGGTGACGCACGGAGGCGTTTTGGAGTTTACTGCACCAGAGGGCTGCGTAGGACTGCCCCCTCTTATACTCCGAAATTTGGGGTTATCTGGGATTATAGACGTCTTTAATCCGTCCGGTACTCCCCCGCCTGTACGCGTCCGCTTTGTCAAGCTCCCTAAAGCCACGTTCGCGCGGCTCCAGCCGCTGCGCCACGGGTTCCTTGCTGACGTGGCGAACCACCGCGCTGTTCTGGAGGCGGCGTTGCGGGGCCAGGCGGCACTGACACGTGGCGACTTGCTATTGGTCGGATCGGAGGTGGGGGAGGTGGCGGTGCGCGTGTGTGAGGTGAAAGGCGTGGGCGGCGCGAGAGGCGCTGCTACAGTAATTGATGCTGACGTGGAAATTGAGCTGTCTCCATGGGAGGGGGATGTGGGAGCGGAAGGCAAGGGGAGAATTTTCAACAGGCAGGGGGAAGGCAAGGGGAAGAGGCAAGGGGAGGGGAAGGGGAAGGAAGGAGAAATGGGGGATGCGGGGAGGGATGGGAAGAATGAGGGGGACGGAGGGTGGGCTAAGGCTGGTATTGGGAGAAAGCTGAGAGAAACAGATGAGCAGCAAGGCGAGACAAGAGAGAAAGGAGAGGAAACAGGGGGAGGAGGTGGAGGAGTTGGCGCAGGGGTTGTAAAGAGGGAGGTGATCCACGTGGGGAGTGCTGATAGGCACTTACTGGTGCTGCCTATAGGGGGGAAGGGACTGGCAGGGAAGATTCAGGAGGGCGAGTGGCGGTATTTCAAGGTTTATGTGGATGGAAGGTTTGGCAGGAGGTTGTATCAGGGGGAGGTAGAACTGGAGTTTCGGTTGCAGCTTGAAGGGGGTTCGGCTGAGCTGGCTGCTGACGTGGCTCGAGGAGGTGCTGACGTGGCGGAGGGTGATGCTGACCTGTACCTGTCCAGGCACCCAATTGTGTACCCCTCGTTTCTGGACCATGAAGTGTCGTCCATTCTCCCTATTGGCTCCAAGACGCTCGTTCTCTCCGCATCAGCACTGGCAAAAACAGCAGTACCAGCAGCAACAGCATCAGTGGCAGCAGCAGCAGAAGCAGCAGGAGTGGAAGCATCAGGAACACTAGTATCAGGAGGAGCAGCGGCAGCAGCAGCGGCAGAAGCAGCAGCAGCAGCAGCAGTTGAAGGGCTGAAGGAGCCTGCAACGTACACTATAGCAGTACACGGTGTAGCAGGCACATGCAGGTTTAATATCTCAGCGCTTTCCAAGGAGTTAATCTCCTCTGATATAGACCCATCTGCGTCTGCTGCTGCTGCTGCTGCTGCTGATGCTGCTGGTGTTGGTGGTGGTGGTAGTAGTGGTGGTGATGCTGCTGCTGCTGTTACTCCACCTGCCGACCAATCCCGTTGCGCCAACTGTCGCCAGCTCATTGCCACCCGCACGCTGCCCCTGCACGAGGCCTACTGTTCCCGGCACAACGTTGTTTGTCCGCATCCCGGGTGCTCTGTGGTGTTGAGGCGGGCGGATTTGGAAGCGGGCGGCGAGCATCACCAGCACTGCGGGGAGTGTGGCGAGGTGTTTGGAGGGAGGAAGGAGCGGGAGAAGCACGAGCGGGTTCGGCACGGGGAGATGGTGTGCGAATGTGGACTCGTGGGAAAGGCTACAGATGTGGTAAGTGCATGAGCGAGAGATATGGTTGAAGTTGTTGTCTGTATGCATCCCGGGTGCTCTGTGGTGTTGAGGCGGGCGGATTTGGAATCGGGCGGCGAGCACCACCAGCACTGCGGGGAGTGTGGCGAGGTGTTTGGAGGGAGCAGGGAGCGGGAGAAGCACGAGCGGGTTCGGCATGGGGAGATGGTGTGCGAATGCGGATTTATGGGAAAGGCTGCTGGTGTGGCAAGTGTATGAGACTCTTTTCTCCCCCATCCAACCCCCCTTCCCCCTCTGCACCCCTTCTCCTCACCCCACCAGCACCACCACCGGCGCACCGCCTGTCCCCATCGCCCCATCCTCTGTCGCTTCTGTGCTGCCGTTGTGCCTGTCCATACAACCCTCATGCCTTTCCTCCATTCCCCCCTCGTTCCCCCTCCCTCCCCACCCCACCAGCACCACCACCGGCGCACCACCTGTCCCCATCGCCCCATCCTCTGTCGCTTCTGTGCTGCCCTCGTGCCGGCCCTCGGCCCGCCCCTCTCCGCTAGAGACAGCCTCAACGGCCTCTCGCCCCACGAAGCACACTGTGGGGTGCTTTCACACATCAACCTCTCCCTTTCTCATCCCTGGCCTCTGCTAATGTTCCGTCTGTGTCTTCCCTCCCATTTTCCCCACCTGCTTTTCTCCCCCACCCTCCCCCACCAGCACCACCACCAGCGCACCACCTGTCCCCGTCGCCCCATCCTCTGTTGCCTCTGTACTGCCCTCGTGCCGGCCCTCATGTCTTTCCTCCCTTTCCCCCTCTCGCCCCCCAACCCCACCAGCACCACCACTGGCGCACCACCTGTCCCCATCGTCCCATCCTGTGTCGTTTCTGTGCTGCCCTCGTGCCGGCCCTCGGCCCGCCCCTCTCCGCTAGAGACCGCTTCAACGGCCTCTCCCCCCACGAGGCACACTGTGGGGCCCGCACGGCCCCTTGTGACACGTGTAGACGGCCGGTTATGCTCAAGGAGATGGATGTCCATGTGGCTGCTTTCCATTCGTTGCCTGCCACGTCAGCAGCATCGCCAGCTGCTGCCACTGCTACTACCATCACCGCTGCTGCTGATGCTGCTGCTGCTTTTTCTGTGAACGCTCCTGTTGCTGTGGGTGGTGGGAGGGGCACACACACGCTTCACACAGATATGGACGAAGAGCACTGGGCACGAGCCTATGCCGGAGATTTTGAGGCGGAGCAGGGTTTGGAAGGAAGAGGAGGATTTGGGATGGTGGGGGACGTAGGGAATGTTGCTATGATGGGTGGGAATTTGGAGGGAGGGTTGGAGAGAAGGGATGAGGCGGGTGGGGTGAGTGGGGTAAGTGGTGCGGTTTCTGGGAGGTCGTTGAATGTGGGGTGTCCAATTTGTGGTGTGATGGTTCACAGCGAGCGAGACATGAATGTGCATCTGGATGCAGCACATTGATAATGCTTATCCATATTTTTCATTTCCTTAATATATCAAAAGTGCCTTAGACGCTTCTAGAAATGAAGTTCTGGAATCTATAGAAGTGTTGATTCTATGGAGAGCATGTTGTAGATTGCAAATTTGGGAACAATACGATATCGAGTAAGGAACCAACTTTTATCCCCATGCTTGCGCACCCCGCACTTCGCTGTCAGTCATCCTGACACCGCGCGTCCAAACATATTACGTATCGACTGGCTTCCTTCTTAGACCAAAATACGGAGCACTTCGAGAGTATTAATCTATTCACCAGTTTTGAGTCGCGGTTGCGTTGTTTCGAACTCAGTTATGTCGTTCGGATTCACCTATTTCCCCGATCTCCGCCCTCCTGCGGTCGAGGAACTCCCCGCGTCGCTCGCGGCGCTGAGCGAAGAAGCCCTTTTGGCTGCGCGCGAAGCGGCGTACGAGCAGCAGCTTCTAGCGGTGCGTGCTTCTAACGAGGGGACCGCGCCGATTGGTCAGGCGGGGGGGAGGGACGGGGAGGGGGAGGGGGAGGAGGTCGAAGGGGAGGCGGAGGAGGAGGAAGAGGAGCAGGAAGAGGAGGAGGGGGATAGGGATGAGATGGACGGTGGGGATGATGCGATGAGTGACGAATTCGGCCAGGAAGGGGGCGGGGGGTTGTAGTGTGACTTGTTACGATGTGATTATACAAGGGTTCTGATAACGGGTAGGAAGAGGAGGGGAGGGATGTGATGGAGGGGCAGGGGGCAAGGGGGTAAAGGGGGAAGGAGGGGGGAAGAGAAGGGGGTGGGTGGGGTGGGGTGGAAACGAATGGATGAGTGACTAATCTGGACAGGAGACAGGGTTGTAAGACGACTTTGCAAGGAATTTGATGATAAGCATAGTGCTAATAACGGTGGTGCACGTGTCATGTGTGAAAAGAGGCTGGCGTGGTGTGGGGTGTGGTTTTGGGGGGATGGGGAGGAGGTAGGGGGGAAGGGGTGAGTGGGGGGGCAATTAGGGAGAGGGTGAGAGAGGGGTTGAGGGGAGAGGCTACGTTGATTCTTTGTACCTGTGTAATCACCATTGAGAATAGTTTATTACCATTAGTTCAAGAATCTCATGTACAGTAACAGTTAGTGAACATCCATGCCTTGTTTTTGCATCAGTCTGAAAGCCAGTGCTTCTTGACCAGATACTGTACCAGTGACTACTTCACCCAGAAGCTCTTGTTTGTCTTGCCATTGTCATCATTACAAACCACCTTCTGCAGCACCTACAGCAGAAGGATACGGTTGGTACTGGTACTCTGTAAACAGTCAATCAAAGCCACAGTCCATTTTACAGCCTTCCTTGTCATGTCCTCTTTTCCTCTCCCACATCCCCCCCTATCTGCCCCGCCCCCCCTCCCCTTCCCTGTCACACTACGCTTCTTATCCAGACTCCCGCCTTTCCACATGCAACAATCCTGCATGGTATGACATCTGAGGTTACCATGTAACACCAGTCCACATTCACCGCCCCTACTTTGTCATCTCCTCTTCTTCTCTCCCTTCCCCTTCTCAGAACCGCCTCCTGCTCCATGCGACCCCTCTGCACCTCCACCCCCAACTGACTTGTCTGTAGTGATGCTGAATTTCAAAGTTACTGTGTAGCATGAACTCACATACAAACCCCCAACTGTTATCTCCTCTTCTTCCCTCCCTTCCCCTTCTTCTCAGAACCCCCTGCTCCATGCGAGCCCCCTGCTCCCCCACCCCCTCCGCCACCTGCTTCCTTGTCCTTCTCCTTGTCTTTCTTGCTCCGCCCAACATGCTTCGGTATAAGCTCCCCCAGTTTCAGCATAAGCGCCATTTCTGTACAGTAAAAGAAGGGTATGCAGCAGTAAGAAAAATCAGCAAAGTCTGCAATATGTGATATAAACGGGAGCAGAGAGAGAGAGAATGACGGACGTGTGAGGAGAGAATGGCATCTCTCATCGACTTACACAATAATGGAGGGAATTTTTCAGTCGAACATAGACCTGTTTACCATGTGTTACCAGGCAGACACAACCTTTTTTGTCCAGGCATTACTTAGGGTGCATTCCTAGGTTGACACGTCACAAATATGCGCGTCACAATCGAAGGTACCACTTTGTACCGAATCAAACCCATGATCGATTTTTTTACAATGTTTAATACTTGGGTTCGATTTGCTACAAAGCGGTACCTTCGATTGTGACGCGCAAATTTGTGACACGTCAAACCTAGGAATGCACCCTTGGTGTGGCAGCTACTATTGTCCTTAGTGTTGCCCATTCTGTAGCACGTGCTGGTGGGGATGCCGTGTTGTCGGGTTTCTGTTCGTAAACACACCTTGAAACTTCTGATAAAAGACACTTGGAGGTTCATGCACGTACTGTTGGGGATGTCGGGGTTGTGTGGTGTGTTATCAGGCTTCTTTAGCTGCACACGAATGCGACCTCTTTGAAAGAAGTCCCGCGAGTAGGCCTTATCCAGCTGCAATGAATGTGAGTGAGGGGTGAAGGCAAGAATAGATAAAATCCCCAAAGATGCACAGATGCACAGATGCACAGATGCACAGATGCACAGATGCAGAGAGACACAAAGGCACAGAGACACGAAAAAAATATCCCTGCACGCACAGGAATTTCAAGGTAAAATGCACAGACCAATAAGTGACAGACCAACAATTGTATGAGAGAGTAGGCGTCAGAGAAGTGTGTGTGAGTGTAATGTCTGTGTGTGTGAGAGATTGTCAGGGTGGGATGGGAAAGAAAAAGGAGAGCAGTGTGGGGCCTAGCATGGGTGGCACGGATGAACTTGTGCGCTCCTCAGTATTCCCCTCCCCATTAACGGATCACTACTGCGTATTCCTGTTCACCACCACTATTCCTCCTCTGTGCATCTCTCACACACACAGACATTACACTCACCCCCATGGTGGGCGGGGGGGAAGAGTTGGGAGTTGGTGGGGGGGGGGGGGAAGAAGAGCAGGGAGAGATGCACAGAGGAGGAATAGTGGTGGTGAACAGGAATACGCAGTAGTGATCCATTAATGGGGAGGGGAATACTGAGGAGCGCACAAGTTCATCCGTGCCACCCATGCTAGGCCCCACACTGCTCTCCTTTTTCTTTCCCATCTCACCCTGACAATCTCTCACACACACAGACATTACACTCGCGTCAGAGAAGGTGTCAGGCCAGGAGTCTGCTCAAACTAACAATCGCATGCACAGGGATTCTAGCGTAAGTGCACGAACAGTCTTTTAGACGTCTCAACAGTCAGCATAGAACGATATTCTCCTTGAGGCAGCAAAAGATTTCACGCTAGAAAAAGGGGGGGGGGGGGGGGGGGGGGAAGGCGGGAAGGGAAGGGGGAGGAGGACGGGGGAGGAGAAGGGGGGGGAGGGGGGAGAAGGGGGGGGATGGGGCGGAAGGCTCCGAAATTAAGCTTCAGAAGCCAGTATGCAACGAGATTCTAAAATCAGTGCACGTCAGAGGCCGCGTGCTATGCTGGTTCATTCCGAACCCGCCTCCTTAGTACAATGACGCACCTCGGTACAAGGATGCACCACGTATAATGAAGCTCCTCGTTACAATGCCACACGTCAGAAGACATCTCAATACAGTGCCACAATTGATACGCGCTTTACCCTTCATGCAGAACCCACCTCCGCATGGAATGGGGATCTAAAAATGCGAGCACGAGTAGAGTATCTCTTGAATCTTCAGGTGACATGATTCCCCCCAACCCACCTCCGCGTGCCCTATAATGCCACACCCCATACCATGATTCCTCCCAAACCCACCTCTGCGTGAACCGGGATTTTGAGATGCGTGCACGAGTCGACCATTTCTTGAATGTTCGGGTTCTCCGCGGCCTTGCTCGCCGCGATGCGACGACCCTGCGCTATAGTCATCTTCGAGTTTATGTAAACGGGGTAGATGATTTGCCACCGCGAGCGATCCGTGCTATCCTCTCCCGCGCTACGAATCTCTACCATTGTGGAAGTTCGACAGAGATCGGTGGAGTTCGGTAGAGCTCGGGGTGAGCTCGGTAAAACTTGGTATGGCTACGGTATCACTCGGTACGGGATTAGGGTTGAACCGAGTCGGATCGAAACACTTCGAAGCACGGCACAAGTGTGAAATGAAGTGTTCCGGTGATTGGCGACTCGTCACAGATCAGGACGCGACGGGAATTCGTGGCGATAAAAATGCCGGGAGCGACAAAAGCGGCGAGAAACGGAAGCCGCGAGAGCCAAAGGAACTTCCTCAACTCAGTCGCACAAAGGTCAAGAGTAAGAGCAAACAAATAGAAGACTAGGTCCTCTCTAAGGCCTTCGCCTGACAATTCGCGGTACAACTATCTGATTCTCAGGGACCAGGAACGTTCTAGAGTCGCCACTAGCTAACTACGACTCGCGTCATGTGATTAGGACGGGAATTAGGGAGGGTAGGGCGAGGTAGGCCAGGGCGTTTGTTCAACATGGTGTCAGCCAGTGCGGCTCAGTCAGATTTAGAATGGTAAAAACCGGCAGTTTCCTACAATATCTGTAACACATGGTTATAATTCCTTTTTGTTAAAACCACTTCGCTATTCTTCCCTTACAAAACTAGCCTTCTTGGGGTCATTACTAGTGAAAATTGCTAGTCATCCCTCCCTCCCTGTTTTGAAATCCTTGTTAAAATCTCCCCATATTATACAGCATAAATCCACAACAGACAAACCATACAAATCATGCAAGTCATAGTACATGCTTGTTAGAACCATGCAAACCAACACCCCAAACCGGCTTCACGACAATCATGCCCGAAATATCCTCAGATATCACCAAGCGTCCCTCCTCACCACCTCCTTCGGTACATGCAGTAGGAATGAGCCTTTCATGGCTGGATGGCATGGGCACGCAGGCTCTTCGTTCCAATTTCTCACCACCAGCACCACGAGCACCACTCTCACCACCAGCACCACGAGCACCACTCGTACCGCCAGCACCATGAGCACCACTCGCACCGCCAGTGCCACTGGCACCACTAACACCTCCACTGCATGGGCTCTCATCAGTGCACCCCATCCTACATCCAAAGGGAACACCTCTTTCACCTTCCTCACCCACTTGCATATCCTCGTGCTCACCCCCTTGTTCTTCCCTTTGCCGTCCCTCAGCCGTCACCATTGCCTCCCATCCATGCGACTCGCCCATTCTGCTTCGTTGCACAGCGAGCATACGGTCACCCGCGGAACTTTCTTGTTGCTGCCACGCCTCGAAATCAGCAGGAGGAAGAAGAGCAACCGAAGGACGTGGTTGCTCCTGACAAGCCCTTGAGCCATCAGGAAGCAGGAACCAGTGTGCGAAACCCTGATTCCGATGCACCTCTGTACCAGGAGGAAGCACAAGAGGACTCATGGTGGGACAGTCCTGACTTTGATGCACCTCTACTCCCGCCGAGAGCACAAGAGGGTTCGGAGAGACCTTAGAAATAGATTCACGCGTCGGAACCAGCTCCAGTGAAAAGCCATGTGTCTTGGACAGCCTTTGAGGCACCTCAACCTCAAGTACTAGAGATTCTTGAGGCTGGGGATCAGGTGTTTGAACCAGCTTCGGGGAAAAAGCAGGGGGCTCGGACAACCAATGCAGCACCTCAAGAGATGGCGAGCCTTGAGGCTCCAGACCGAGCATACGAACCAGCTCCAGTGAAAGAGCATGTGGCTCGGAAAGTCCTTGAGGCGCCTCAAGAGTGGGAGAGTTAAGAGCCTGCTGGTGAAGCATCCGAACCAGCTCCGGGGAAAAAGCTTGTGGCTCGGGCAATACTTGTGGCTCAAGGGTTGGAGAGTGCAGAGCGTGACGACCGGGCTGAAAGGCCAGTGAATGTTGAGGCTGGAAATTAGGTGCCCGAATCAACTTGGGGGAGGCATGTGGCTCGGACAACTCTTGAGCTGCCTCAATATTCAGAGATTTCAGTGTGTTTTAATGTGTGGCTGAAGGTGCGGCTGAGAGTGTGGCCGGCACCCTGGCCGGCGCTGATCGGCTCTTTCTGACAGAGTTCTCTTGGTAAGAAGCGGTCCTCATTCCACAGGATCGCACGCGAACAGCAGCATCGGGATGAGGGCGTTTCAGTGGGGGAGATGCACGCATGCCGGAGGGAGCTTGAGCCTGGGGAGTTGGGTTGACATGCTGGGGGTCTGGCTTTTGCGGTGCCCCATTCAAGAGTTTCCAGGGGGGAGATGCACGCATGCTGGAGGGATCTTGAGCCAGGGGATTTGGGTTGACACACTGGTGGTCTGGCTTTCGCGGTGACTCATTCGAGAGTTTCCAGGGAGGAGATGCACACATGGCGGAGGGAGCTTGAGCCAAGGGATTTGGGGGCTGAGGGTCTGGCTTTTGAGGTGCCTCAAGAGAGCGTTTCATGTATGCCTCAAGAAATGCATGTGTGCCAGAGGGAGCTTGATCCAGGGGAGTTGGGGTGACATGCTGGGGGTCTGGCTTTCGCGGTGCCTCAATAGAGAGTTTCACTTGGTAAGAAGCTAGCGGGTCTGGTGGTGTGTGGGGAAGGTGAGACGGGTTGGGCAGCCGGTGGTGCTGGAGTGCTGGTGATCTGGTGGAGTGAGATTCTGGGGGTGTGGGGTGGTGTGGAGGGGTTGGTGTTCGCCTAAGAGGGAGAGGTGAGAAGGCAAAAGGTGCTGTTTCTGGTGTTCTTGGTGCTATGACTGCTGCTGCTGATGGCGCTGTGGCTGGTGCTGTTGAAGTTGGCGCTGTTGCTGCTGCTCCTGTTGCTACTGGTGCTGCTGCTGAAGTTGGCCCTGTTGTTGCCGCTGCTGTTGCTAATGGTACTGGTGCTGTTGGTGCTGCTGCTGTTGCTAATGGTACTGGTGCTGTTGGTGCTGCTGCTGTTGCTACTGGTGCTGTTGTCCCTGTTGTTGCTGCTGCTGTTGCTACTGGTGGTGGTGGTGCTGCTGCTGATATTGCTGCAGCTGCTGCTATGTAAGCCCCAACTGCTGCAATTTCACGAGCCCAACCTTCGTGTTCCACCATCCAGCTTATTGTCATGCGTTGGATACTTGTCTCTGTTGTCGCTGCTTCTGCTGTTCCTGCTGCTGCTCCTGTTGCTGCTGCTGCTGCTTCTGCCGTTCCTGCTGCTGTTGCTGTTGCTGCTGCTGCTGCTGCTGCTGCTGCCGCTGCTACTCCATCCCCACCTGCTGCACTCTCACAAATCCACCCTTTATGATTAAACATCCAAGGCTGGCTGGTTGCCTCTGCTTTAGCAGCCCCACTTGCAGCCATCTCACACGATGCTGCTGCACCTGCTGCTCCCTTTCCTATCATCCATTCTTGAAGAGATGTCCTTTCCTCCCCATTTCCTTCATCTGTTTTAGTCTTAAGAGTCATCTCAGGAGTCAAATCAATGCTTGTCTTTCCAGTCACGTCAGAAGTCAATTCCGTGTCAGGATGTTCAGCGGAATCAGAGGTCAAGTCAATGTTAATCAGGTGAGTCAAGTCAAAACGTGTTTTCTGGTTAGCCTGCGGAAGGGTGTTGCCGCCCGCCTCGTGCGTGTCTCCGCCGCCCATCTCATGGGTCTGTTCGCCGCCCGCCTCTCGGGTGTCTTCGTGTTCGCCTCCCGCCTCGGGGGTCTGTTCGCCGACCGCCTCATGCTCATGTTCGCCGACCGCCACGCAGTCAAGGGTGGGCGGGTTTGTCACGATGTGCAAGTTGACGATTCGCTGCGCCTGGCAGCCACACTTGGCGCGTTCGGAGCAGCGGAAATAGAGCCTGGGGAAGGAAAGCCAGCAGAACAGCAGAGGAAGGAAGAGGAGGAAGGGATAGGGGGAAGAGAGGAGAAGAGAGACGAATGAGCTGATGATGTGCTGTGCATGGCAGCAGCAGTTGGCGCAAAGGGAGAAGCGGACATAGAGCCTGGGGAAGAGAGGCCAGCAGAGCAGCAAAGGTAGGAAGAGGAGGGAGAAGGGATAGGGGGAAGAGAGGAGAAGAGAGACGAATGAGCTGATGATGTCCTGTGCATGGCAGCAGCAGTTGGCGTGAAGGGAGAAGTGGACATAGAGCCTGGGGAAGGGAGGCCAGCAGAGCAGATGGAGCTGAAGATGGAGAAGGAACAGCAGAGGGAGAAAGAGGAGGGAGAAAGGATAGGGGGGAGAGAAAGGGAGAAGGGAGACGAATTAGGTGATGAACTGCTGTGCATAGAAGCTGCTCTTGGCACGAATGGATCAGCGGAGAGCCTGGAGAAGGAGAGCAGATTGGGAGGATGATGTGTTATGGGGGAAGAGAGGAAGTAAGAGGAGAAGATAGAGGAAACCACGAGGGAGTTAAGAGAATGGAACAGGAGAGAGAAGGGGGGAACGAGGGCGAACAACTTAGAGGATCATTTGATGGGAAGCGTGGGATACACAAACAAATATGAAATCATTATAGTCATAGCAGTAGTAATATAATAGTAATATTAGTATCAAAAATAGAAATAAAATAGAAATAAATGAACAAATAAACGAAGCAAACGTACCAGCACAGGGACACCAAAACGGGCCAAGCAAATTGGTATAAAGGCAGAGGAAAGTACTACCTGACGTGAGTCCCCCCGGAGAGCACCTTCTGCCCATATCGAAGCCACCGATAGCCATCCTCTGGCAATAGGTGCTGGTAGCGGGGCAGGTACTTGTGCCGCTTCCTCTTCACACGTCTGAGAGGGAGGAGAGAGGGGAGCAAGGGCGGAAGTAGTGACAGGAGAGAGGCGAAGCAAGGCATGTGCGCCAGCAGGGAGATGTAGGGCCATGCAGGGAGATGTAGGGCCATGCAGGGAGATGTAGGGCCATGCAGGGAGATGTAGGGCCATGTAGGGCCATGCAGGGCCACCGGTAGCTGGCATCTGGCAACAGGTGCTGGTAGCGTGGAAGGTACCTGTGCCGCTGTTTCTTCACACGGCTGGGAGGGAGGGGAGAGGGAGGAGGGGAAGGAAAGAGCATGTAAGAAGGAAGGAGAACAGAGAGGCATCTGGCAGCAGGTGCTGGTAGCGTGGCAGGTACCTGTGCCGCTGCCTCTTCACACGGCTGGGAGGGAGGAGAAAGGGAGGAGGGGGAGGAAAGAGCAGGTAAGAAGGGCCAGCATGGGTTGGAAATAGCCATGCAGGGCCACAGGTAGGTTTCATCTGGCAGCAGGTGTTGGTACCGAGGGAGGTACTTCTGCCGCTTCTTCCTGCCACGGCTGAGGGACCCGCATGGGTTGAGATGAAGGAAGAAGAATAGCAGGTAGCAAGGTGAGGAGTGGGGAGAAGCACGGAGTCGAGTGAGTAAAGCCATCATCTGGCAGCGGGTGCTGGTAAGGGGGTAGTAGCTCTGCTGCTTCTTCCTGACACGCCTGAGGGAGGAAGGGAGGGGGGAGCGAGGCAGGATGTAGCTGCAGGAGTGAGGAGAACGAGAGGCGTGCCAGTCAGTGTAGTCAGCTGTAGCCGCTCCGTGTGTCAGATGGAGACGGGATGAGGAGAATGGAGCAACATAGGACGCAGTGCATCAAGCCAGCCATGGAGCCACCTGTAAGCTCTTTGTTTATCTGGAAAACAAAGGGTGAGGCAGAGCGAAGCAGACAGGAGCAGAGACTAAGAGTGAAGTATAGAAGGGATTATGGAGGACGCAATGCGGCAAGGTGATGCGGAAGTAATGCAACAAGCCAGCTCGTGGAGCCACCTGCAAGATTTTTGCGCGTCTGGGAGAGAAGGGGTGAGGCAGAGCGGAGCAGAGGAGCAGAAAGGCAGAGTGATGAGCAGAAGGGGGCAAGGGCGGAGGTCTCGTGGCAGGGTGGTTAGAAGGCAGTTTTGAGGCGCCTCAAAAGGCAGGGTGGTTAGAAGGCAGTGCATAAAGCCGCCCAATGGAGCCTCCTGTAAGCTATTGGCACGTTTGGAAGGAAAAGGGTGGGGCAGACTGGAGCAGAGAAGCAGAGGTACAAAGAAGGCAGCAAATCAGTGTGAGGGAGAGATGCAGAGAAGAGAGGCAGAAACATGCAAGGAAAGGGACTCAGGGAAATATGAAACCAGAGAGGCAGGGGAGGGAAGCAAGAAGCAAAACAAGCAGAGAGACAGAGGGGCAGAGAAACAGAGAAGTAGAGATCTAGATCTGGGACCCCAAACTGTCCTTTGAAACACAACAGGGTCACATGATCTGGATCCAGGTCAACACATTTTTGCTTCAAGGCACAATTCACTGTGCAGAATCATCGAAGAAAAAGTAAACACAGGACCAGAGTGATCATAGAAAAGAGGGATAGAGAACGAAGCATCACAACAGAGCATTTTAGGCCTTTTTTAGGAACAGTAGCGTCCCGAATGAGAACCAATCGAAGACCGGACGGAGTCTGAACCACGGCTTCCGACCTGAATGTTTCCCGGGGACTCATTTATGCCTGTTTCGGGTCTAAACCTTTTTAAAGATGAAGCGGCACAGAACAACAAGAGCAGAGAGACAGAAGCAGAAAATAAACGCTGAACAAAAAGAGCAGTGAAGCAGAAGCAGCACCTGTGATACCCAGAGATGGAAATGTTTTTTTTTTTAGCCGGGAAAGCAAGGGTGGTCCGAGGAAGCAGCATGGAAGGGAATGTGAGGTGGGCAGAGGGAGGATGGCGACAGAGAGAGGAGTACGGGTGGCAGAGTCTCTTGAAGGGAAGCCACTGAGCTGTCAATGCGGAAAACCTCTCAACTTCCAATGGGGAAAGCCGCTCAGCTTTCAATGGGGAAAGCTGCGTAACTAGTATTAAAAAACAATCCGTTCTTCAGACACCGCACCGGCATCCACCTGTATAGCAGTGTCGTCTCAGACTCACTTCACTACGTGTAGCTGTGAAACCGGAGGGGACCCCTCCACAGGAGCGCATTATGCAGCGGACAGCAGTGCTGGCCCTATGAAGTCCCCAGGCGGTGTTGCATTTCCTCTGTGCGGCAAACTGAATGGTCCAATGGTCCAGCGGGTTGGTGTTTTTGATTTGGAATGGGGCCGCATGACGTGGGAGAATGCGCATCCCGAGGCTGCCGGCTAATGCACCTGGCGTTGTTTGGGAAGGCTACTACCACATGAAAATTTAAAACCTAAACACCAGGCCTGCTGCTTCCCCTGCACCAGTTTTTTTGGACAGCCAGAGTTGAACAATGTTGAAACACAAATCAAGTCAGACAAGTCATAACAAGTCAGATTCAAATAGGGTCAGATCAAGAACTCCGGAACGACTCAGATGATGTAGGTAGGTCCGAGATAATTAAGTGAGATTTTAGACATCTCAAAAGCTTCACATTGCTCTCGGGAGGGCTTGAATGGAAGCAAGAAATGGCTTATATCGAAAGGGAGATTTGTTGTCAGGATCACCGTAAGTCTTGCAGGATGATTCAGTAGAAAACGAGACTGTGGAGGAGGTGAGGACCATCTCTTTGCAGATCAGGAGTTAGTGCTTACTACAGTGGGTATTAGTGCCTAATAGATATTAGTGCAAATACTAGCTAGAGATTTCACCGAGTGGTTGCCTGGTGAATCTGGCTCTCAGAATGCTATGATTGGGGTTTGGGAGGTATCTTTGGGAGGGATGGTTGGGGGAGAGGGAGCTCAGGCAGGAACACCTTGTCAGGTGCTTCTGCCTCTGCTAGAAGTTCTGTGTGAAAGGGCATGCTGCCCAGTCAAAAGGAAATTGAAGGAAACCCCAGTGGAGCCAGTTCTCTGCTGAAGGACATGCTGCCCAGACTACAGAAATCCCGGAGAAAAATCCCGTACAGCTCAGTTTTGCTCCAAACCCTACCTGCTGGAATGCCATCCAGTCCCATGTTGAAAACAGCCCGTTTTACTGTACAGCTTCTGCATTGAAGTGAAAGTTGCCAAAGCGAGTCGCCTGAGATGGCAGTGAGGGGTCAAGCATGGAGAATTCCCTCGTCATGATTCATGCACTAAACAGCTGTCAGCTGGATTGACTGACTGTCAGTGATGGACGGTCAAAAACCCCTCACGGGCCTGTGTGCGGCACGAGTGTTGGTCTAAAACCTCTCTGGATCAGGGCTGTAGAAGCAAGGGCATTTCCCCTTAATCCCCTGAACATTCTAGCCTACGTTTCGCGCAGCTCGACCATTTAAAGTGTTAGATCCGCATGGCACCCGTGACCGTTACGGGCCTCGTTTGGGCCTTCCCCTGAATCAAAGCTTTGGTTTCTGTTTCGAAGGACATACCCCCCCCAAATTCCCTCCGCCTCCCCCCCATACCCCCACTCCCCGATGATTTTTCGTATGGTGCTTTTGCCTACGATGTAGAGGCTGTAGGTGTGTGGATGAGTAGTTCATATGTACCTTTTCCCTGCTAAGTAAGAGAAAACATCCTCCCGTGTTACATCAGGGCTCAAGCACACTTTCCTAAGCAGCCCTGATTTCAAGTTTTTAATTTGGACTGCGCCCGGGAAAATCAGGTCCAGAATTCGAGCAGCTCAGGACTCGAAGTTTTGGTCCGAGGGACTTCGACAGCCCTGCTCTGGATTACAGCGAGCAACAGTGAATGGACATAGCGACAGCGGTCGCAGGCTGACTACCAGGCAGAGTCCGACGTGTATGGGCCAATCACAACTATGTGAATCAGGACTGAATCACAGCAGGGAGCATTGCCATGGAGGTCGCCCACTGGCAAAGCAAGTCGTCACAGTGGAGAATCACGACCGAGCTTGGTCAGGCTCCACGACCGAGCTTTGAAAAACCCGAATTAAAGTTTCCCTGACCTGTCTGGCCTTTAAGGGCGTGTGTGATTTTATTTTTGGTATAAGTTGACGTTTTAAAATCGAATGTAGCATTTGAACAGAGGTGAACAAAATTAGACTCTCGTTGATGGAAAAGTTCGATCCGCTCGTCTCGCAAACGGTTGAAGCACAACCACACACCCAAGTTCGATTTTGCACGTTTGACCTTATAGGTGGTGAGCCGAGCCGCCCGTCGGTTATTTAGGTTACCTGGTTTCGTCTAGCTCTTCGAGACGAACTGTTTATCTGGTTTCAGTGGTACGTTCATTGGTGTACGAACACATCGCGCAATTCGTCAACTTCTCTTGCATGCCCAAAATAACACATGTTCGGTCATCGTGCACTTTCACGTTCGTGCGTAGATTCGAGCCGTATTCACTTTTTGTTGGTCGCATTTGTGTGTTTCCGATTTAAAGTGCATTTCGCCAACCGTGTCGACGACATTGGCGAACGCGGTAACTAGCTTAAGTTCGACCTAAATTACGAACCTTAAACAATTTCACACACACCCTAAGACGTGTTGCGACCCACACGGATTAGGTCGACCATCCCCCGATCCCTCATTTCTAGGAAGGCTGCACTGCAGGTCTAGCCGACCAGGTCGACCCAACCGGGTCAGTTCGGGTCTGCACGACCCGGGTCGACCTGGTCGGATCGACCAAGTCGACCAGACCCAACCCAATCGATTTGGAGCAGGTTACCCGAGCCTACGAAATTTAGAGTTCCCACGCAGATCTCGGCCCGATTTCGCCGCCCGAAAAGATGCCAGGCAAACTCGCGCAAAACTTGCTACAGCTCGCCACAGGTCGCCACAGGTCGCCCAGGCCACCATCTACTCGCGCGCGCTGAAGCTGCGTCGCATCACTCTCGAGGATCCATAGAAAGGGGTGGGAAATTCTCAAATTTCCCGAGTCGCGTTTCCGAGGATCTGGTCAGGCTGGGTCTGGTTGACCAGGTCGACCCGACCCGACCCAATTCGTGTGGTTCGCAACACGTCGTTATAATCCAATTTTTCCTAAGGTTTGCTTCGTGGAAAAGGCAAAGGCTGAAATAAAGGAAATTTTGGGGGGACGATAACGTTCCACATGTTTTTGCTAAAATTATGAAGTGACTGGACTAATCTGACTTAGTGTCACGCGTGCAATGAATCGAGGTAGCGAGGATTGCACTAGAGTGTTCAATGAGTACAAAATATGAGCGAAGGCATGAGCGAATACTTATACGCGAAAATGTGCTAACGGTAACGCGGTGCGTGCGAGCTAGCTAGTGCTACGCTGGCGCGAGGTTCGGGCTAGTCCCGAAGCGTAGGCCGACTCGGCTGCTCCAGCAGTGCGAGGTTTGGTGAAACAGTGCGCGCGAAGTTGGGAAAGCCCCGTTAGCAGTAACGGGCGAACAACGGCTGCTGCTGTACGCGATGTGGACGGTCGCGGTAAGGAATATCTAGAAAATTCCTTACACTACCCCCCCCCCCCCCCCCCTCAAGAAGCCCCCTCCGCTACGCGAGTGCGTGTATATCGCGGAAACCCCGGCTCCTCATGTACACTTGCAGGGCAC